CCTCTTCTCTCTAGACATGGGAGTCCCCAGGAGGCAGTCCTTGCTCCTCTTTTCTACCTCCACCCCCTCTCAGCTGCTCATCTGGTCCCGTGGTACTGGGGAGACCAAGAGCTTGCTATAAAAATCCGTTCCCCTGGGGGCACCTGGGTGGCTCGGTTGGTTAAGCTTCTGACTTTGGCTGAGGTCACCATCTCACAGTCTGTGAGTGGAGCCTGCTTAGATTCTGTGCCTCCTTCTCTCTATGCCCCTCCCCCACTCATGCTCTGTGTCTCTCTGTCTCAAAAAATAAACAAATATTAAAAAATTAAAAAAATGGGACGCCTGGGTGGCTCAGTCGGTTAAGCGTCCGACTTCAGCTCAGGTCATGATGTCACGGTTCGTGGGTTCGAGCCCTGCGTCGGGCTTGGTGCTGACAGCTAGCTCAGAGCCTGGAACCTGTTTCAGATTCTGTATCTCCCTCTCTTTCTGACCCTCCCCTGTTCATGCTCTCTCGCTCTCTCTCTCTCTCTCAGAAATAAATAAAACATTAAAACGATTTTTTTTTAATTAAAAAAATGTGTTCCCCTAAAATTTTGGCCCATGAATATGAAGTAGGCATTCTTCTTCTATTTCTCCTGCTAAATACAGCTAAAAACTCTGGGACATTATATACAAAGCAAGCATTTGAAAGGTAGAAAGAAGGCAGCAGGCTGGCTAGAGACCTCGGGCCCCAAGGAATGGTATGGTAGGGAGTTTTCTGGCATTTTCTTTTTGCCTCATGCATCCCAGGCTTGGAATTGGAGAAACCAGCAACTCAAAATGCCAACGGGCATAGACCAACAATTCCACAACAGAGCATATTTTCTCTAGTCAGAGAACCAAGAAAGGGGCAGCCTAGTAGGGAGAAAAGTTTAGATAATAACAATCTACTCTAGCCAAACACCACAGGAAAAGCAAACCCAACCACACAAGCAAAGGCTGAATGGAAGCCTAGACCTTCTACCCTTATCAGGCTATACTGAGGTTTTCCAACAATCCTGCCTGGAAGGTGTCAGAGTAAGTCAAGTAGGGAGTCAGACTTTCAGCCCAGGGGGCCAGTAAACAGCCACCCTTCCCACCTGTGAGGTCGGTGGAGCCTGTCTGTAGAAGCTCGACTTCCACCCCTACCATCAGTGAAGTGTCGCCTCTCTGGTGTCAACCGGGCAATCTATTTATGTATCTCCACCTGGTAGAACCACTCCTTCTCCTTCAGAGAAAGCAAGCTAAGATAGAAGGTTTAAATAAGACCCAAAGTTGCATAACATGATACAGAAATAGTGAGATTTCAATAGAAAAAATATCACTCATCATACCAAGAACAAGGAAGATCTCAGAGTGAGTTAAAAAAAAAAAAAAAAAAAAGCTGTAAAAGCAGAGATGACAGAAAGGTTAACATTACCTGACAATGACTTTAAGATTTTATTTCATTTTTGGGGCACCTGGGCGGCTCAGTCAATTAAGTGTCTGACTTTGGCTCAGGTCATGATCTCAGTTTGTGGGTTCAAGCCCCACATCAGGCTCTGTGCTGACAGTGAGGAGCCTGGAGCCTGCTTTGGATTCTGTGTCTCATTCTCTCTCTGTCTCACCCCCACTTGTGCTCCATCTCTCAAAAATAAATAAATGTAAAAACTTTAAAAAAAAAGATTTTATTTCATTTTGGAGTAATCTCTATACCCAACATGGGACTCAAACTTACAACCCCAAGATCAAGAGTCACATATACTACCAACTGAGCCAGCCAGGCAACCCTATCTGACAATGATTTTAAAGCAACCATGACAAAAATGCCTCCAGGAGCAATTAAGCCTATGCTTGAAATAGGGCACCTGGGTGGCTCAGTGAATTAAGTGTCCAACTCTTGATTTTGGCTCAGGTCATGATCTTGTGGTTTGTGGGTTCAAGCCCCTCATCAGGCTTTGTACTGACGGTGAGGAGCCTGCTTAGGATTCTCTCTCTCCTCTCTCTGCCCCTTCCCTGTTCATACTGTCTCTCAAAATAAAGAAATAAACATTAAAAAATAAAAAAAGACTATGCTTGAAATAAATGAATAAAATTATAGACTTAGCAAGGAAATTGAAAGTCTCAGCAAAGTAATACAAGCTGTAAATAATTAAATGGAAATTTTAGAATTGAAAAATACAGGAGCACTGGGTGGATCAGTCAATTGAGTGTTTGACTCTTGGTTTCAGCTCAGGTCTTGATCTCACAGTTCTGTTTGTGAGTTGAGCCCCACATTGGGCTCTGAGCTGACAGTGTGGAGTCTGCTTGGGATCCACTCTCCTCACTCTCTGTCTGCCCCTCTCTCCTCCCTTTCTCCCCCTCTCTCAAAATAAAGACATAAACAAACAAAAAAAGAAATCATGGAGGCTAGAAAGGTATACTATTTCTTTGAGCAATGGGAAAAAAAAAAAAGAACTCAATACAAAATTCTATACCTCCCCAAAAATGTCTCTCATGGGTCAGGGGGAGGGGGAAACAAGATACCCTCAGAGGAAAGAAAATGCAAAGAATTTTTAAATTTGTCACTCCAAAAGAATGGCAAAAGGATATTTTTTAAACAAAGTAAATGATAAAATAATATGGCTTAGAATATGAGGGGAAAAGGATGTAGCAAAAACATGGGTAAATACAACAAGCTTGTCTCTTCCTCTTGAGTGTTCTAATGTTTGAGGGTAAAAGCAAAAGTTACAATGCTGTTTGATGTGGTTCTAAATGAACAGAGAAAATATTTAATGCGATTGTATTATAAATGGGGAAAGTAAAAGAAGTTTTCTACACTTCCGTTGAATAGGTAAAATGACACTAGTAGATTGTGCTAACTTGTATAACACCTATAGCAACTTCCAAGACAACTGCACAAAGATCTATTCACAAACACTACAGACAGATCCAAATGGAATTCTAGAAAATGTTCAAGTAACCTATGAGACAGGAAAAAGAAACCAAAAAAAAAAAAATCAGAGAAAACAAGCACACACAAAAAATGAAAGGGCATAATTAAGAACTAATGTATAATAATTACATTAAATGTAACCTGTTTCAGTTATTTATTTACATGTATTATATATTGATATTTTATCTAAAACATCGATTATGCACTATGGTGAAAAACTATGGTTTAAGTTTATTTCTTGAGAGAGAGAGGGAGAGAGCGAGCAGGGGAGGGACAGAGAGAGGGAAGGAGAACCCCAAATAGGCTCTGCACCATCAGCTCAGAGCCGGATGTGGGGCTCAAACCAAGATCATGATCTGAGCTGAAGTCAAGAGCCAGGTGCTTAACCAACTGAGCCAACCAGTGCCCCAAGAAACTATATTTTTAAGGTATTGAAAAGGAATTGCTGGGGGCAGAGTTTTCTGGGTCACTCTTATAATGCAAATGGAATTCAGGTTCTGATCCCCTTAGGAGAACTAAGGCTTTGTCGAGCTAGAGGCTGGAGGCTGGCCCTCCTGGGCCCGACAAGCTCAGAAGGCAATTCTGGCCACAACTAGCACCACGGTTCCAGCACTTTCTCCCCCGGGTGTAAATTGAGATTGGGATTTAATCTGGTTGAGCCCATTATCCACTAGGAAATCACACAGACCCCAGGAGCAGCACAGAGAGCAGGGAGAACAATTCCTTGTTCCTGATTGATGCTGGAAAGGGGGTTCAGTACAAAAACCCATGAGTTGTTGTCATTAGTTGTGATACGCAAGGAGACGCCCATATTCTTATCTAAATTTGTCACTACAAATCCTGTCAATGTTTTCTTCAAAATGCTCATCCTAAAATATGTTAGCAACTTTTTCATGTGAAAAGAAATTGTAATGTGTCCGTTCATTCCGGAAACCATCAACTATTCCTAGGATTAAATTTCTTCCCATTTTCATACTTGAGAGGAGGGACAGGTCTCCCAGACTTCTAGGTCATTTGTTCCCCAGGCTGCATTGCTAATATGAAAGATTAAAGTTCTTGGCCCTTCTTGGTGTTCTAGTCTGGAACTTCCCTAGCAATGACTGTCCCCATCTATAGAATATACTAGATCCTCACCTCCAATTGTTAAAATGATTAGAGAATTTAGTAAAAAAAAAAAAAAAAAAAAAAAGGTGGTATTTGCACTGGTTTCAATCTTTTTCACTGCCTTCAAGGCCTCTGACCTCACCTGGACCTCTCATTTTTAGTTAGATGACTGTTTCTTCCATTTCTTTCAGAAGTATAACTGGTCCGTTTTCTCCATCTTTAGCATGTTTCCAGGTGTTCATATATACTCTCTACATTCTCCTCTTCCTTGGCATAGAATTCTGCTAGGACATTTGGTTTTAAATCACAGAAACCCAACTCAAACTAGCTTAAGAAAAAAATCTAACTTCACCATAAAGGTGGGTGTCTTGGGAACATTTGTATGTGGCTAGGTCCCCGGGCCTAGCTAGAGCCAGGGGCTTGTTTTCCATTTGGACTAATTGCCTAGACAGCTCTTTTTGGAACTGCTTCATTATGTTTCTGCACTGTTGACCAGCCCCGCCAGCTCTCCCATCCATCTGGTAGAACAGGTCATCGGTAGTGCTCAGGTTCAAGTCTCTATTCCATTAGCCAGTCAGCTGGAGCTGAAGAGCTCAATTCTGATCCTAAATTCCCAATGATGCATTCTGATCAGGCAGCTTGGGTCAAGACCCACCCCTGGACCAATGAACACTAGCCACAGAGTCAGATCACAGTGTGTGACCATGGCTCTTTCTCTGGCAGCCATCTGAACGATATAGGGGCAGAGGAAGGTGGGAGGTGTCCAGCCCCATCAAAGAATCGGAGCAATGGAAAGTCCCAGAAAAGGAAGAGATGCTGGGACAGATAAAACAACACATATCTACTCCATGATTTTCTTTCCTCTTCTCCAGGTAAATTGCAAGGTCTTGAGCTTTCGGTTCTACCTTTTACTATCTCCTTCAGGATCTAGTTTCATGAATTACTTTTTTATTTTTCCCTTACATTTTAAATCTGTTCCACTTACCTGGGTGCTTTTTCCTTAGGTTGGAATTTGCTCAAGTCTCTCCTCTACTAAAGGAATGTTCTGTAACTCTTCTTCAAGCTCCTGGTAGATCTGTGTGCCTTTCTTTTCGGCCAAATAGAGGTCATCTGGCCCTTACGTTTTACCCCAACCTGGACTTCTCTGTCTTGACTTACTTCACCTCCATTTCCCCAAGTTGTTTCTTGGTCTCTGAAAGGCTGAAGACAAGGAAGAGAAGGAAGCACGATGTTTATAGGTCATTGTGAAGCAGCCCTTCCAGTGGGTGTAATGTCTGACGTGCCAGGGTCAGCTCCCCTCAAGGCACATCTGAGAAATCAGAGAGCCCAGCCCCAAGGGGGACCCTCAATTGGGAGGCATGCCACCGACCAGTCCCTGACCTTTCTAGCTTCCTGGTTCTAGAGAGTCTGTCGCCACAGCACTACCTGGACCCCACCCAGGCTGCTGATAGCTTGTTTACCAAAGCCTCCCTGGTGAAAGGGCCTTCTCACGCACAGGCCTGAGAGGATTCCCTCAGCCATTTACCCTTTGCTTCCTCGGGTGGGAGTAATTTCCTGCCATCCTGTGCCCTCTGGAATGAAGGGGACAGGTAACAACCACAGGTTCAACCTGAATTGCTGCTTTAATGGTACCCACCGCTAAAGGCTGAACCCTTCACCCTCACTTACTAACCACCTTTCTGGTACTCTCGGCTATATGGATGCTTCTGTGGTCCCTCCTTTTCATAAAGTCCATTGCTTTAGCTTTTAAAAAACTTATTCCAGGGGTGCCTGGGTGGCTCAGTCGGTTAAGCGTCCGACTTCAGCTCAGGTCATGATCTCATGGTTCATGGGTTTGAGCCCTGCATCAGGCTCTGTGCTGACAGCCAGCTCAGAACCTGGAGCCTGTTTCAGATTCTGTATCTCCCTCTCTCTCTCTGACCCTCCCCTTCACGCTCTCTCTCTCTCTCTCTCTCTCTCTCTCTCTCTCAGAAATAAAGAAAACATTAAAAATTAAAACTTATTCCAGAAAGTTTTAAACACATGCAAAGTAGAGAGACTAACATGACTATCACCCAGTTTCAATGATTATCCATTTAAAGCCTGGATTGTTCCAGCTGTATCCCCAAACCAACACCCTCCCCATTTTTTAAGATTATTTAAGTGGTGTCTACACCCAACATAGGACCTGAACCTATGACACCAAGATCATGCTCTTCTTGTTAAGCCAAGTAGCCCCCCACCCCATTATTTCAAAGCAAGTCTGAGATGCTGTATTTTGTCTGTAAATATTTCAGTATATAGCTCTAAACAATGCTTTTTTATTTTTGGTTATGGTCAGGTTTATTAAGGTATAGTTTACATGGTAAACTAAATTTTACCTTTACAAGGTATAGTCCTGAGGTTTTATAAACTCCATTATATAACAATCACAATCAGGATGTAGAACACTTCTGTCACCCCCCCACTGCCACCCCATGGCCACAATTCCCCTATGCTGCTTGCAGTGAACTCTCTTACTACCCCAAGTAACCACAGATCTGTTTCCTATTCCTTAGTTTTACCTTCTTCCAGAAGGTCATTTAAAAAATGGAATCCTAAAATCGCCTTCTGGAGACTCATGTTTTCATACAGAATTATCATATCAACATCTCCCCCAACCAACAATTCCCAGTATCAGCAAGTATCCAGTGTTTTCTGTTCCACGTTTGTCCTAAAAAGTATGTTTATGCTATGATGTAGGATCTAAATGAACTGTACACATTGTAACCGATTGTTAGGGTTCTCTAGAAAATCTGTGCATTTCCTCCCCAGCTGTTGTCTATGACATTGGGTGGTTGTGAAGAGTTTCCCTTAATCTGAATTGTACTGATGGCACCTGCATATTGCAGTTTCCTCTCTTCCCCATCGCCTTGCTACTGAAACGTGGAGCAGCAAGTATCTGTATCAAGTAGGAGTTCGTTAGAAACACAGAATGTTGGATTCCACTCAAGACCTTCTAAATCTGAATCTGCATTTTTAGTTTCTTTTTTCTTTCTTTCTTTTTTTTTAAACAAGATCTCCAGCTGTGTCAGCTCCTGTGAATTTGTAGTGAGAGCCAGAGCTTTGAGCCAGTTTAGGTTCTGATTCCCCACCTCTCCACTGTAAGGGATGCACCCGCACTTATTATTCCTTAAAGGGGCACACCTGGTCCTCTCTTGCCATGTCCCACTGCTCAAGGACTGGCGCCTCCCCATCACTCAGACCTCTGTTAATGTGGACATGCCCAAGTCCCCATCTCTTGCTGTCCTGCATTCCCTCATCCTGCTGAGTCCTGTGAGCTCATTTACCCACAGAACTTTCAGGACTCTCTTTCCTCCTTTTGTTTGCACATCTTTCTGTCTAATCCTGACTCCGCCCTTGGTCCTTCAACTTCCTTTTCAGTTGCTGAGAGAATGTATCTTCCTGTAGGTCCAGCCTGCACTTTGAACTCAAGTCCAAGCCTAAATCAGGATTTTCCCGCCTATCTTCTCTTTTGGGTGAGTAAACCGGCCATCCAACTCAGGCCAGCCTATTCCATTTCTCCCTCTTTCATGTCCTGCCTTTAATTAGTAAACGATTAATTCTTCTGTATTTGTCAGCCTGCATTTGGTGATGCTGGAGTAAAAAACAATCTCCCCAAACCTCAGTGACAAGACGGTTTTATTTTTTTTGCTGATGTTCTAAGTTGGGGTCTTAGCCGAGCACTTCTGCTGGGCTGTACATGTCTTCTGTATTCCAGGATCCAGGCTACAGAAGCAGTTCCCCATCTGGCTTATGGCAGAACTAGGAATCCATCTCAAAGCCTCTGGCAGTCACCTGAACCATTAATCCCCCACATGTTCTACTGGTTATAGTCAATGACTAGGTCAAATCCCAAGGCGGTGGAATGGGAAAGTGTGTTCAAGTATTTGGAGTGAGTACTACAATCTATCAAAACTCTTTTTTTAAATCTGAATTGCATCCCTTATTACAATTCCCTTTCCTCTGCCTTAAACCTCACTTTGTTCAGCTTAGAAGCCACCTGCTCTGGGAAGCCTTTCCCATCACCCTCAGATAAGGTCATATCCGCTGCTGTCTGTTGTCATGGTACCTGCGCTTTTCTTGTGGCACACTTGTGGTGAATTGTTTATGCAGTATTCAATGTCAGACTTTCTCTCTAGACTGTAAGCTCCATGAGGACAGAGCCAGCATCTGTATAGCTCACCCTTTTTAAAAAAAATATATTTTTTGGTGAGTGCATGCAGGAGAGGGGCAGAGAGAGGAGGGACAGAGGATTCGAAGCAGGCTCTGCACTGACAGGCTGACCGTGGGCTCGAACTCACAAACTGTGAGATTGTGACCTGAGCCAAAGTTGGATGCTCAACGGACTGAGCCACCCAGGCACCCCAGTTTTGCTTACTCTTTTATCCTTGGCACCTAGAAAAGTGTCTTGGCACCTAATAAGCATTCGATAATTACACGTAAATGAACGATTGCATGCTTTAACCATGCTCCTATCATCTGTCTTCTGGATTACTACAAGACCTCACCAATTGTTTCTGCCATTTGTGTACTCATACCATCTATGAACCTTTGAGCTCAGCCTCCCTTTCTGCCACTTTTCTAGCTGAAACAGTATTTGAAGTTTCCTGAATTATTACACTTTCTCAGACCTCCATCCTTTTGCACATGCTGGGCCTTCCATAGGATTCCCTAGCCTCAGTGCTGCTCCTGGTGAAATCCTACTCATCTTGTACACCTCACTTCCAAAGCCACCTCCTCTGCTGGGCCTGCCTCACCTCTCTGTGAAGATTCAGGCCACCACCCCCACCTTGCTTCCCCATTCTGTGTGCATATCGCCATCTTAGCAAGTATCAGGTTGTATCCTAATGGTCTGTGGGCCTCTACTAGACGATGTTCTGTGAAGCCAAGAATATTTTATTTGTCTTTATATTACCCAGCACTTAACATGGGGCCTTGCACAAAGCAGGTGCTCAAAATGACCTTCACACCCTTGCAAGCTACTTGTGCAACAGAGTAATACCTTCTCTATCCACAAGCAGCAGGTAAAACACACGTTAACCAATTCCATGCCCTTCAGGCATAGGGAAAGCCTCAGACGTGTGATCACAATTGACTAACTGTACTATGTGCTCAGTCCTCACTTGTGGTTTTCCAGTGTAGATTAGAGAAAGGAGAAAGACCCAGGGACAACAGCATGGAGTGACCTCTCTGATGGCCTGTCAGGAAACTTCTAGAGCATCCGACACAGCCAATAGGGCCCTATTCCTGTAGTGGCTGCAGTAGTCTTGTCCTGGTGAGGCCCGCTTCCTGCAGCCCTCTCCCACAATTCTGAGCCTGGAGACTTTCCCTTAGATCTAAGAAAGAAAAAAATCCTTGCTTGCTTTTCTGGTCTCCCTCTTAACTGAAGAGGGGGTACCAGACTCTGAGTCCCTGGTTTCCTGGTGATGGCTGCCTCTCTCAGGCTCCTGTCTTCCTCGTCTTTTCCCTGGTGGCAGTAGCAGTCTTGGCTTGGGATTTGATTTTTTTTAAATTTTTTAATGTCTTTACCTTATTTTGAGAGAGAGAGACAGAGAGTGAGCGGGGGAGGGGCAGAGAGGAAGGGAGACACAGAATCGGAAGCGGGCTCCAGACTCTGAGCTGTCAGCACAGAGACCGACGCGGGGCTCGAACCCACAGACCATGAGATCATGACCTGAGCCGAAGTCAGATGCTTAACCAACTGAGCCACCCAGGTGCCCCGGGATTTGATTTTTCAGGGAAGCAAATCGTACAGTCCATAGTGAATTTTTGCCCTGCCACACGTTGGCTCAAATAGTGGTTCTCAAACTTAAGCATGGGCTGGAATCACCTGGAGCCTCGGTTAAACCACAGATTGCTGGATGCCTCTTCTAGAGTTTCTGCTTCAATAGGTCTGGGATCTGAATCCAGAAATTTGCATTTTATTTTAATAAATCTACATTCATTTTTGAGAAAGTGTGTGTACAAGCAGAGGAGGGGCAGAGAGAGAGGGAAACAGAGGATCCAAAGTGGGCTCTGCACTGACAGCACGGAGCCCAATGCAGGGCTCAACCTCACAAACCCCGAGATCAGGACCTGAGCTGAAGTTGGACAGTCAACTGGCTGAGCCACACAGGCACCCCAGAAATGTGCATTTCTAAGAAGTTCCTAGGGGATGCTGATGCTGCTGGTCTGGGGACGACACTTGGAGAGTCAACTGGCCTCAATGATGAGCCTCAAGCAAGACCATGATGAAAAACCCTGGCCAGACAGGAAAATACAGAAAATTTCATCCTTGATCATGTATTTCATGCTTCACTGACACAGGTGCCTGCCATTTTTTTTGCAAGGAAGACTCTGTGACTTGATAATTTCTACTGGTAGAACCAGTTGAGCTGGATATTATTATCAGATTTACTTAGACCAAATAAACATAGTCATAAACTCTAAAAATAGAAGATGCTGGCATTCTGACTTCGCTGCAGGGGCAGTTCCTCAAACGTGCTCTTTATGGATCGGTATCACTGACTCATATTTAGACTAAAAGCAACACAAGCAAACTCATCATGAGAACTCAGCGTGTCTTCATCCCCAACCCCTCTCCCCAAGCTCTCTGTTTACACTTGATTTCAGAGTCTTGTATTCAACCATTAAAGGCAGTTGCTGAGGCATATTAATATAAATTTATTTCAAAAATTAATTATCCAATGATGTGTCCTAACATTAAATTACTAAGGTTATATTCACTGAAAAAATGGCAACAATGGGTAGAGTGGATGAAAATATCAGAAAAACTTTAACACAGTACCATTAAGACCAACGGTGGTGTCTTGAGAAATGTCACTCATGTCCCTTATGTTGTTCACTAATGGCCTTCGGTTTAGCACTATCTCTCTGTGCAGTTTTAATTAGAACTCATGCTTTTGATCTTGAACTAGGATTGTCATTGACAATAGAAGTTCCTGAGTGAGGAGGAAAACTCCTCATCATTTCCTTATCAGGACTTGGAGGATTTCTATCCAGTGGATTCTAGATGTCATTGGTGCTAACAGTCACATTGTTTTGCACTGTAACATCCTGAAATCTAGATACATCTTACAGTGGATGGCATTTTATAATCACGGGTGGCCAAGTGGGGGGTCAAGATGTGTTGTCACTGCCTGAACATGCATAAACACTGTGGTTAATCCTGGTGGGATGACTTTGCAACTGTAATCTCCGTATTTCTGTCAACGAATCACCTAAGGACCACCTGAAAAACAAACATGATGCCTATTGTCTGAAAGCATTCCATTGCAACCTTCAGGTAAGACAAAAAAACATTCTGGTATCAAAGTGTATACACTGGGTTTGGAAGGATTCAGTAGTGGAGTGCAGTTATGAAATGCCACATCACAAATGCCTGGTAATTAACAACACAAAGACACCAATGATGAAGCTGAAAAATGACTAAGCGTAAGAATAGAGATTCTGAGTGTGAAGAAATTATAGGAATTCCTCAATAAGTTTATTTTGCTTCTATTTTCCTTTTTACACACAAAAGTGATGTAGGATAATGATGTAAGTCTAGTTTTGAAAGCGCTCATTCAATAAATATTTAAAAATTCTAAAAGATAAAAACATTACAAAGAGTTTAATTGGATACATCTCCCCATCCCACCCCCAACTCCAGCTCTCAACTGTTGATTTGAGGACTCCTTTCATACTTGAGGTTGAGGATCCTAAAACCCTTTTGTTACTGTGATAATATCTACCGATATTTATTATATTCAAAACTTAAAGAGGCTTTTAATACTGAAGAATCCACAAATTCCATTAGCTGTCCGAGAGATAATGACACCACACATCACCTAGCCTCTGAAAAGCTCCATTGTGTGCTGGTGAAACTGGGGAGCCAAAGGGGCAAATGATGTTGTAGTGTTCACAGGGAGTTTTGACCTTGTGGATCCCCTGAAAGGGGAACACCTTTGAGAATCACTGGCATATAAAAATAATGGTACACCAGTACAGGTAATACAGATATATTTCTACCTTAGATATTGGAAGGATTTCCAAGTGGAAAACTATTGTTGGACAATTGGTATAGCACCGTGAGGCATGGAGAAACTACATTACATTACTACATTAACTGATGTAGTTTTCTTCTGTGGCTGTGAGAAATATTTTCCCCTTTCTACTTAAGTGGCCAGTTCACACTGGGTGCCCTAAAGGCCTCAGTAATACGGACCTTAGTAGAAGGTACCAGCGAATCAGGATAGTGGAATGGGCTGTCTAAGAGGACAACAGAAGTTAGGACAGAGAGGACAGTAGGAGAAGTGTGGTTTTGGTCCCCAGGAGAAGAAAGATGGCGTTTCCAGAGACAGAGGAGCTGGGCTTGCAGTTTCTTGAGATGTGGGGAGGCCTGCAAATGGCTGTGTGGGTATTGGCTGCAGATGGACACTGGAGAACCAGCCAGGGTCCCACAGCACAGTCAGGACTAGAGAGGACAGTCCCTGGGGAGCCACTGGCCTTTGGGGTACCATGAAGGTTTAAGCAAGCAGATGCTCATGACAGGCACCATGGATTGCTGACCAGAAGCCTCTTCTGTCACTGCCAGTGTCTTGACCTGGAACCCTAGAGCTACTCAAGGGAGGAGGACCAGAGCCATCTCACACACAGTTGGCTTTTGTTGGGACCAGACTGGGTTTTAGAAACTAGAGTAGCAAAGTAGTTACCAGCAGATCTGAGGTCATCCTGCCTGAGTGTGATTTCTAGCTCTGCCTCACTAGCTGTAATGGCATTGTCACTAGAACCCGCTTCGCAGGATTCCCCCTGGGAACACTATAAATAAGTGATGCACGGAAACTCTTCAAGCCATCTGGCATGGAATAGGTATAGATCTATACCATCATCTGCTGCACCTTGGATGTCTTGGAGATGTCATCCCTACCACGCTGCATCCTCTGAGTGTTGGTATGGCTAAAGTGTCGCCCTGTGTTTCAATGAAGACGAGATTAAAGCCCCAAGGCTGGAGTCCAGGGGACCAAGAGCATACTGGAAATTGCACAAGTGGTCTACTGTATAGTGGGCGGCCGAGGCTGCAGGGGAAGGTCACTGGGTGGGCCACTCCGGCCCGCAGTCTTTCTACCCTAGCCTATGGCACGAAGTCCTGCCAATCAAACCCTCAACTAGCTTCAGAGGGACCTAGAGGTTTTCTTTCTTCGGTGTTAGCACGGGAGTCCCACGCAGGGCGCAGCCAGATCGCTGCAAACTCCTCGAGAGTATTCAGGGGCCTGGATACTCCCGGGGCCAGAGAGGTGGCGCCGGTGAGTCTGAGCCAGGGAGGTGGGCGTGGGCAAGCATGAGCCGGCCCATCAAGGGTTTTGGCACCTGCCATTTGCAGGGGTACCTGAATTTGTCGTAAGCTCGCTCGGGCTTCCGGATTACCTCTCCTCTGACACTCATCCCGCCCCCAGGATGGGCGTGGCCTGCTCCTACCCTCACCGTCCCCCCCAGGGGGCGGAGCTGGGGGAGGGGTCTCTGTGATCGAGTCACGTCCAACAGGCGGAGCAGAGCACCGGGAGGCCGGCTGGGGAGGCACCACATCCGGCGGCTGACTCGCGTGTATAAAGCCGCGGCCGCTGAATCTGGCTTCCAGCAGTAGCTCTGGGCTCTTCTCGGCTGCAGGAGCAGCTGCTCCAATGCCCCACAGTGGCCATGAGCGTCCCGCATTGGTGGGACCAGCTGCGGGCTGGCAGCTCGGAGGTGGACTGGTGCGAGGACAACTACACCATCGTGCCTGCCATCGCCGAGTTCTACAACACGGTGTGTGCGCGAGCCGGAGTGGGAGCTGGGGTGGCAGGCGGGCTGGAGGGAGGGGAACCTCCCTAGTCGCGCCAGGAACCTGGACGTGGGTCTCTGCGTGTATCTGGGGCATTCTCTCTCCAGGGCCGGAATCAACCCGCGCCCCCTCCTCTGCGCCCCCTCCAGCTCTCCATCTGTCTTCTTCCGTCCCTACCCTAACCCGACATCTGGGCTCATCCTCCCCCTCTCTTTTCCTTTTGATGGCTCTATTGTCTTGTTTGATCCTCACCAGTCCTGAAGCCCGCGGTCCCTGGCAGCCCCTCTCCCAGGGGGAGGACTCAGCCTCGTGAACCTGCCAGGACAATTCCCCTCTTCCCCTAGGATTTCTGTGGCGTGACGCACTTGGGTCGCATTGTGCGGTTTTCCCCCCAGCACCTGCTCTAGGAGTCCGGGGGGCGGGGGAGGGGGGCAAGGGGGAGCCCTCCCCCCCCACCCCCCCACCCCCGGCAGGTCACAGGGCCAGGGCCCGCTGTGCTGACCAGCTCCACCCCACTAATACACCAACAGTAGGTCGAGCTACTTTTGGCCAAAGTCAGGTTAATGACCACTAGTTGTTATTTCTTTGTCTTTAGTTCCCAGTCTCAGTCGAGCCCCAAAGACAACTTCCCCAGGCCTGTGCCCTCGCCAGTGATTAAGCACAGGGAATGAGAGGGAAGTTTGGGAGTGATGTGTGCGTGCCTTGTGGGCTAGTACTGGCGAGCTGGAACTTCCCCGCTGCAGGAGCCGAGGTGTTGGAAGTCTTTATGCCAGGGAAAGCTTGAAGCTGGGAGGAAAATACTTTGACCTTTCACCACCATGCAGTGGTTTCGGATTCCCCGGCCCAGTAGAAGATGCTGCATGGTCCTTTCTGCTGCTGCCCAAACACAACACGTGCACAAAACAGGAGCTCCTGGCTTGCAAGTCACTGTGACTTTGAGATTGTTCTTCAGGGTTGCTCCTTAGATTTGCCGGGGAGAGCATCCTTGGCAGGAGCCTGGAGGTATCTCTGGTGGGCTGTTCCCAGCCCTTTCACTCACTGATGAGGAAACTGAGCTCTAGGGAAGCGAACTGTCATGCTCAGGTTTTTGACACAATCCAGACGTCTGTACTGTCCCCGCCATCCCTCCTCATCAACACTCCTGCTTCTTATCTATGACCAGGTTTGTTCTTCAAGGAAACCTGGCCCTTTGCCGTCCATAGATCCTGTGAGGGACACAGTGGAGGTGGCTATAGCTCATCTGTTGTACACCTCCTTTCAGAGCACATACTCTCAGGTGTAGACAGGGGCATACAGAATGGGCTAGGGTGTGGCTGGGTGCTTTCAGAGTGGTAACTCGTTTTCTCCATTTCTAAGTGGAGACTGCTACTAAGGATTTCACCAGAGAGTTACAGAACAAATGGCAGGTTGGGGACAAGTTCTCACATACCCAGCAAGGTAATTCTCTGTGGAGTCTGAGGTCAGTCAAGACTCTTGGCCACAGGTTGATCTATAACTGCCGTGCACTTCCTTGAAAAGCCCCAGAGTGCTTGATGAGGGGAGAGTTTATGTTATTTTTACTTTTACTCTAGTCCCATTGGAGCTACTAGGCAATGAGTGCCAAAGTCTTAATTTAAAAAAAAAAAATACTTATTTTTGAGAGAGGGAGAGAGAGTGTGTGAGCAGGGGAAGGGCAGAGAAAGAGGGAGACATAGGATCCTGAAGCAGGCTCCAGGCTCTGAGCTGTCAGCACAGGCCCCGACGCGGGGCTTGAACTCACAGACCGAGAGATCATGCCCTGAGCTGAAGATGGAAGCGTAACTGACTGAGCCACCCAGGTGCCCCCAGGGTCTTATTTAGAAATGAACTGTTGGGGTGCCAGCAGAGAGCTTTAAATCTCAGAGAAGTTTTTGGTCACCTAATCTTGTTCAGCGTAGGTCCAAAGAGTTTAGCAAAAACCATTTCCTTCTTTCTCTTTCCAAGCCCTAGTTATCTTCTGAAGCTTATCACAGGACACACTGGGCTTATCTCTCCTTTATTGAGGAAGACGGTGAACTATTACTTGGTGATAAACAGCTCATCAAATCCTCATAGGAAGGCAGCAGGTCTAAGTATCCATTTTAGAACAAAATTGTCATTCCTCATTTTAAGGAAAAGTTAAAGGAATTGAATATATAAAGTCCAAAGAGGACTGGGAGACGGATCTAGAACCTTCTTAATGGATCTTGAGGATAGCACATCACTAGTACAACTTCAATTACTACTGGCATACATTGTTTGCTAGGTGTTGAAGCTCTGCTCTGTCCTGTACAATCACCCTAAGCAGTGGCTGCTCGTTATTAGATCCATTCGATGAAAGGATGAAACCAGGGCTAGACAGATTTTGCAGTTTGCTGAGGTAAAGAAAATGGCAGCATTCGAGTTAAAACTTGGTCCATTTGCCCCTACAAAGATACTTCTTCTGAAGATACAAATGCCACTGTAGCTACCTTTGATTTCTTTATTTGGCACAGTACGGGTATTTATCATTTATCCATTCTTTAACTTAAAACTCCTGCCTTGGGATCATTTGACCTGCAAGGTAAAACTCTGATATAAAAAAGTCTGTTGAAAGCAGTTTTTTGCTATAGTTGTTCTTTATTATAAAATGTTAACCTTAAAAATAAAAGTTATCTTGCCACCAGCAAAAATGGGTCTATTATTTCTTAATAACAGAATTGCAATTCAGGATAAGCAAGCTATAGCAAAAGCATAGGCAAGTCCAACAAACAAAGGAGAAGAATGTTAACTTATGGAGAAGGAGGAAGTTGGGAGGGGTTGTTTTGAACTAAAGAGAGAGTTGGGGGTGATTGCTTCTCATTGGCTGAGTTGCAGGGATCGTGGATTTCTTGTGGGAGATGCGGTGTACGTCTTTCTCTGTTGGGACCTGTAATTGACCATTCGTTCCTGTTTAGAGGTCTTCTGTTAGGGGTCTGTAACTGACATCGAGTCACAGGGCTTCCCCTTCCAGCCTCCCCTACTAGCATCCCTTCAGTGAGGTTTCTATTTATTTTCACAAAAAGTGATCATGGTAAAAAAAAAGAAATTCACAGTATGCAAGTTGCAGTGAAAAATAGGCTTTCTTCTGTATCTTTTCAGACTTTTTAAGTCATTGTACAAAATACACGTATTTGTGCGAGTATATAAAATATGTATGTAGAATGTATACATATAATATCTAAGTTTTTATTTAACCCAGTTGAGATCATACTACACAAACTTCTCTTGGTGTTTTTACTTAATAGGGTCTTGGAGTTGGTCCCATATTGGCTCATATAGACTTCTCTTTTTCTTTACAATGTCTAATCAGTATTCCATTTAATGGATTGACCAGAATTTATTTACTCATTCAATCTCTTATTGATGGACATTTAGGAAACTTTTGTTTTATTGCTTTCATCTTGGTTTTTGAGCAGTGATGCAGTGAATATCCTCATACGTGCATCTGGAGACTTTTTCCAAGTACTAATCCTCTATGGGAATTGCTGCATCAAGGAGAATGTTTACTTAAAGGTTGATAATTATTGCCAAATGGCCCACCAGAGACAGCCCTAGTTTATATCCCACTGGCAATGTTTGGGTGCACAAAGCATTTTTCTTTGGGGCTCTGCGAATCTCCATTGCCTCAAGTCTCGTCGTCATCCCTGGCTTTAGCCAAGCCCAAGTACCCTTTCCAAGAACATGTCATGCTCTTTCACAACCATTTGCTTGTGCACATTTTGTACTGTTTCTTCCACGTGCAATTTTTATTGACTGGAGTTCCTTTATAGGTTTTAAGTTTTCAGGCTCTAGTCATGCTGAAGAGAAAGACTCTAAAACTTGCCACTTCTGAGAAAAGTAGGGTCTGTTTTTTTAACCACCGGGCTTTGCCTTTGGGGACTCTGTCACTGGGCAGTGACTCAGGGTCAGAAAGAAATCAACTAGTGCTGAAAACAGTGTGGAAGCAAAATATATGCATAAGATCAGCTCATGATCTGTTACCTTTCCCAATTACGTCTGCCAACAAGATAAGGAAAGCAGTTCTGATATGCCAAAGCCCATGGCTCCTATACTGTAGAGCAGAATTACCTATATCCTGTATCTTTTTAAATTTTTTTATTAAAAAATTTTTAATATTTATTTTTGAAAGAGAGAGAGACTGAATGTGAGCAGGAGAGGGAAGAGAGAGAGAGAGGGAGACACAGAATTAGAAACATGGCTTTGAGCTGTCAGCACAGAGTCCCTTGCGGGGCTCGAACTCTCGAACCGGAAGATCATTAACTGAGCTAAAGTCAGATGCTCAACCGACTGAGCCACCCAGGCGCCCCTATCCTGTATCTTTTCATCTATAGATGTATGTATTGGGCAACTGCTGTGTACCTGTCACAGAGACCAGACCTGCAGACAGTCATTGGGTGGTGAAGGCCCTTCTGGAGATGTGTCCAGGCTGGCAAGGGTACGATTAGCATTCTGCATGGCCGGCGTACCGTGCAGGAGTTTTGCAAGAAGTCTTCTTGCAAAGACCAGCTTGTTCTGGTTTGTTCAGGCCTCGCCGATTTGAAAACTGAGAGCCCCACGACCCCGGAACCCTCCTCTGTTCCAGGCCGATTGAGAGAGTTGGTCATCCAATGGCAGGAGGGGAACGGTGGAATGGAGCATTCAAAGTCTGCCTACCGTTATGGTGCACAGAGCGTCTGCACTTCTAGGGGAAGGCCCCTTGGCTGTTTATGAAGCGCCTGCTCAGAAAATCTTTCAGCCCATTGCTTTGTCAGCATGTACCCACTGCCTGGGAAAGCGCACACTCCCATGCGTCAGGAGGAGATTGCCGTCTGTTCCTCCAGATTATTTTGGTGCGACATTATGGAGGAATTCTTGGAATGAGGAAATTTCTGAGGAAATCATTAATACATTTTAAAATTGTGGTTTCCTTGTAATTAAAAAAATCTGCTCTGCAGACGTGAAGCAAACCGATTCTCCAAAGCAGTAGGCTTTAAAAAAAAAATACCCTTGGCTGAACTGTTCAACTTGAGCGACCCAGACAATTGTAAGGGGAAGTTCATTTCTCAGAAGAGATGGAGCTATTGAATGTGTGTTTTAACGAGGACTTGTTTGTTTTCTCTGTTTCTTTAGGAGTTCCTTCCTCTTTTTGTCTTGGGGAGAGTCTTCCCCTAATCTGGTCTTTCCCTTTTCATAGACGAAGACCAACAGTCACTGATAGATTTGGGCTGGGAAGTGGCAGTAATGTGATTTGTGTGTTATTTGGGAGCATAGGTTAAGATGGGGCTAAACTAAATTGAACTCCTTAATATGTGCCTTAAACAAATGTTTGAGGGCACCTGGGTGGCTCAGTCGGTTGAGTGGCTGATTTCCGCTTAGGTCATGATCTGGCGGTTTGTGGGTTCGAGCCTCTCATGGGGTTCAGTGCTGACAGCTGAGTCTGGAGCCTGCTTCGGATTCTGTGTCTCCCTCTCTCTCTTCCCTTCCCCGACTTGCACTGTCTCTCTCAAAATAAACATTAAAAAAAAATTTTTTTTAAGTGAAGTCCCATGATTTTACTACAGGTATAATAGAGAACTTCATCCCTTTGTGAGCAATGTGTAAATACATTGAACAATGATTAATGTGCACATTGATGGTGGGAATGTAAATTGTTATACCATACCATACAGAGCCAGTTGAAGGGGGGGGGGAACTGGGCAGTAGATGGTTACACCTGGCTGAAGAGAGGCATGTTGCAAGGACTTGAGGCAATAAAGATATAGTGGGGTAAATGGGGTGCCTTGCTCACTCCATCAGTAGAGCATCCAAATCTTGATCTCAGGGTTTTGAGTTCAAGCCCCATGCTGGGTGTGACACTTAAAAAAAAAAAAAAAAAAGCTATATTGGGGTAAAAAGCAAAAGGTCTTCTATTTCCCAGTATTGTAGGAGGGACTATAAATTGGACCTCCTTGCACTGGGGAATTGCTAAATAAACTGCTGCCATGTGCAGGAGATAGAGCAAGTGAGGTCAGTGATGATGTTATTATCTGTGATCTCTGTGTAGTCACATCAATGCAAAGAAAATGACCTGAAGGCTGTGAATCTGAGCATAACGGTCGTCTCTAGGGAGGAGGATAGCAAGGAGACTTTAGCTTTCTTTAAACAAGAGAACACATTTATGTAGAAGCAAGGAGAAAGATCAGGTTTTAAGTTACCTATGGTATAACAGTTCCAGTTTCTCCTTCTCCCCTACCCCTTTCCTTCCTTTTGTGCTTAACAGGAGAGCTGCAGTGAAATCACGCCCTACGGGCACACTTCAGGTACCGTTCAGAGTTTCTAGATAACCCTTGAGAAGTTAAGCCGAGGAGGCCCGAGTGTGACTAGGAGCTTGGCGGTAAAAATCAGCCTGTTCTGAGTGATTGCCTCTTTGACCTTGGCCAGCCTTGGAGGCATTCTGGACCCTCATGTGTTGCCCCTTGTAACAAGGGATGGTCCTTAAACCCTCTCATTTTAACTCTTAATGATCTGTCATTCTTTAAATGATTCCTTGGAAGGTTGAAGGCTGTGATCATGACCGTGAACCACAGCCTGCTGTGGATAGTGTACGTAGACCATACACTATTCCTCCTTACCTGCTTAGTGAAGGAGTGTTGGCTGTGTTTCTAAGGCTGGAGACCGTACACCGGATGAGATATCTGAGACCATTTATTTGTATTCTCGCTCAGGGTCACAAGTAGCTCAGGGGCCTCTCATGTGGGAAGGAGAAGATCCCCTTGGGACCAGACCGGCCAGGAAGAGTGCCCTTTTCTCCAGTATCGTGCAGTCCCACTGGGGATTTCAGTCTTAGATTTTCACCTCAGGCACAGCCCCTGTTCCCATCCCACTGCTGCTGCGGGATCTGGTTTTCCTCTCCTCACTTATTTTTCTCCTATCTGGTCTTTTTCCCTTTCTAGAAGTGGTATCACTTCTAAGCACTCTTGCTCCCAGATGGTGAAAGGGGCCTGCATAGGCCACTGACATTGCCAGTCTTCACCTGTGTAGCTCAAGTCCTGGGGTTTGCCCGTGCGTTTTGGTTAGTTGTGCACGGGTGTGATTTCCTAGGTCTGGAAAAGCCTTTCTACCCTGGCTCTTCAGTTCAGTTCAGACACCCATCCTCTCAGTTCCCCTGTGGCCTCCTCTGTGCTGTTCAACGTGGGTGACTAGTCTTTTCTTCTGAAGGATGCCAGGCTCTTCACTTTCTGGAATTCATCTTGCTCTAGCCTCCTATCTCTGAAAGTTTTTTTCTAGTCTTTTTTCTTTTTTTTTTTTTGGTGGAACCCTCCCACCCCCTCCCCACTGGCGTTGCCCTTTTCGACTTAGCTGCGGTCTTCACGTTCTGCACACTTCCTCTGCCTGCAGTCATTTAGGAGTCATGGTTAGAAGTGAAACTTAAAAAGCTGAATGTCCCTACCACTTTGTACCTTCTAGGATGGCCCTATTTGAAAACAAAAACCACCAGAAAATCACAAACGTTGGCAGAGTGGTGGAGAAATTAGAGCCTTGGTATGTTGCTGGTAGGAATGTAACATGGTGCAGCCACCGTAGGCCACAGTGTGGTAGCTCCTCAGTAAGTTAGATACGGAATTGCGACTGTATCCGGTGATGCCAGCTTGGGCATATGCCCAGAAGAATATGCATACTCAATAACTCGTATACGATGGTTGTAGCAGCACTGTTGGCAAAGGATAAACAAACGTGGCATTTCAGATGGAGTATTATTCAGCCACAAAAAAGAAGGAAGTACCAACTACCTGGATGAACTGCAAACACATTATGTGAAGCAAAAGAAGCCAGACATGAGGGCCCTATATTATTATAGGGTTCTGCCTTCATGAAATACCCAGAATAGGTGAATTCATAGACACCGAAAGCAGATGAGTGGTTGCCAGGGTCTGGGGCAGGAAGGAGGGAGTAGAAAGGGCCTGCTTACTGGGTATAGGATTTCACTTGGGGGTGATGAAAATGCTTTAGAATTAGACAGAGATGATGGTTGTCTATTATGATGGTATTTAAGGACACTCAATTGTACTCTTTAAAATGGTTAATTTTACACTGCCTGAATTTTACCTCAATTTAATAAAATTTGGGATAAAAGAACTGGCTATGACCCCTCCCCCAAAAAAGACAAAAAGTAAATTTAAAAAAATTCCAGGTGAGCTGGCCAGCATGGTGGTCACTGGCCACGTGTGGTTGCTGAGCACGTATCATACGGCTGGGCTGATGGATGGATGGGTGCTGGAAGTAGGAAATTCATACTGGACTTCAGAGCTTTATGTGAACAAACGAATAGCTCATTAGTGATATTTAAATAGTGATTATGTGTTGAAATGACACTATTTTAATACATTAGATAACATATATATGTATATTTAAAAGCCGATACCCCCTGGAGAGAGAAGAGGCTTAAATCCATACTAGAATCTGGAAATTTGATCTTTGTCTAAAAGTAGGTTTGAAGCTGCTCCCATAATCAAGACATGGGAGGGAATCCCCATGAAAGAAGTCTTAAATTTCCCTGTGTCTGCAGTTTAAAAAAAAGATGGAAGAGCTTAAACAAGATGTGTGACCACATGCTTCCCAGTTCGCAAAGAGCGTACTTGGAATGTACTGTTTTATTTTTTGCCCTTTTACTTAGTAATAATTCTCTTTTCATTTTATATCCCTCCCCCAGATCAGCAACGTCTTATTTTTCGTCTTACCGCCCATCTGCATGTGCTTGTTTCGTCAGTATGCAACATGCTTCAACAGTGGCATCTACTTAATATGGACTCTCTTAGTTGTAGTGGGTAAGTGGATTCATTTTCAAGCATGGGCTGAAAGGGAGGAAATGGAATTCTGCACACTTCCTGTCCTATTTGAACATTATGTTTTGTAAACCAAAGTCACTCTGACATCTCAGCCAACTTTTATTTTGCTCCCTTGACGCCAGAAGGAGGACTCTTTTGAATACTGGCTTGATAACGAGGTTGACTCTAATTATCACTTAATTGCATTCAAAAGTTATTTATGTAATGGCTGTTGGTGCTGTGTCAGTGCCATTTTCTGAGAACTTCTAAAGAAAATGACATGAAATGCTGGAACTCTGATGAGACTTTGGTCTAATGGATCAAAATTTTAAAAAGAGAAAATTCTAGATGTTGGGAGCCTCCATTGTTCTGGGAAATACTTCTGCAGTTTCCATTTCCTTCCATAGTTGGGTTGGGAATACTTAACAGTGAGAGAATGTTGACTTATTTACTGCCTGTTTCCATGAAGCCTTGATGGATGAGGACAGAGTGTGTCCAACTGTGGGATTATTGAAGTTCTGACGTGCTCACATTGGGTCCTCCTTGAGATCCTTTTTCTAGGCTTCAAGTATGCATGCCTGGGGGGTATGGGTTTCTGCCCTTAGCTTCTGCTTTCAGGGAGAGTGTGATCTGGTGATTGGGACAGCGATTGGTTGAAAGGGTACATGTACCCCAATGTTCATAGCGGCACTCTCAACAATAGCCAAAACATGGAAAGAGCCTAAGTGTCCATCAACAGATGAATGGATCAAGAAGATGTGGTTTATCTATACAATGGAACACTACATGGCAATGAGAAAGAATGAAATCTGGCCATGTGTAGCAATCTGGATGGAACTTGAGGGTATTATGCTGAGTGAAATAAGTCAGGCAGAGAAGGACAGCTACCATATGTTTGCACGTATAGGAGGATTAGGAGGAAATTAACGGAGGACCATGGGGGAGAAGAAGGGGAAAAATAGTTGGGGAGAGGAAGGGAGGCAAACCATGAGAGACTCTTGAATGCTGAGAACAAACTGAGGGCTGATGGGAGGGAGGTGATGGGCATGGAGGAGGGCACTTGTGGGGATGAGCACTGGGTGTTGTATGGAAACCAACTTGACAATAAACTAGTTTTTAAAAATAGAAGAAGAAAGGGCTCTTCTTCAGCAGTGCATTGGATTTGTGAGTCTGTTCTTCTGTCATGACCTTTGTGATGGGTTGTGATTGATTCTAGGAATTGGATCCGTCTACTTCCATGCAACCCTAAGTTTTTTGGGTCAGATGCTTGATGAACTTGCCATCCTTTGGGTTCTGATGTGTGCTCTGGCCATGTGGTTCCCCAGAAGGTATCTACCAAAGATCTTTCGGAATGACAGGTAAGCTTGTGCTAACCATTTTTGCACTCACTGCTAGGGTCAGTACCCACTGTATCCATATACGTATCAAGAAAAACAGCACACAGTGGAGCCTAACCTTGTGATGTGCTTATCATATACTTGTTGAATTTCCACTGATTGTTTATTGTGTCAGGCCACAAACAAGCTGATCAAGGAGGGAATTTTAATATACTTGGTGAAGAATGTATATGCTATTGGGGCAAAAAGTTATGTCTCCCTTATAGGATGTGAACAAAAGGGGAAAGATTTTCAGTGGGAGAGAGATTATGGAATGGTAATTTAACGACCTTTGATTTGCTGCCAGAATCTTTCCTTGAGTCCAATCCAGTTCTACCATTTGAGAAGTTTACAGTAGAACTCCACTAAGGAATTAGTTTTTGCAGTTGTAGATTCTATAGTTTGGTTTATAGTTTAAGATACACACACACACACACACACACTCCTCCAAGGTAGAAATTCACAATTTCAAGAATGGATGCATTTTTAAAATTTATTATTTATTTTTTAATTTTTTAAAATGTTTTATTTATTTCTGAGAGAGAGAGAGTGTGTGTGAGCAGAGGAGGGTCAGAGAGAGAGGGAGACACAGAATCTGAAATAGGCTCCAGGCTCTGAGCTAGCTGTGAGCACAGAGCCCGATGTGGGGCTCGAAACCACGAACCATGAGATCATGACCTGAGCCAAAGTCAGATACTTAACCGACTGAGCCACCCAGGCACCCCTATTTTATTTGTTAAAAGATTTTTAATGTTTACTTTGAGAGAGAAAGAGTAAGCCAGCAGGGGAGGGGCAGAGGGAGAGAGAGGATCCCAAGGAGCCTCTATGCTGTCAGTGTGGAGCCCCTGTGGGGCTCAAACTCAGGAACTACAAGGTCATGACCTGAGCCGAAATCAAGAGTCAGATGCTTATCTGACTGAGCCACCCAGGCGCCCCACAGGACGCATTTTCATATCTATTATGATGCTTATATAGTTATTCTCCTAGTAAATATTTTCTTGAACACTTTACGCAATTTTCGAGGCACGGGGTTATAGAAGTAAGCAAAAACAGTAGAGTCTCTGCCTTCAGTGAGCGCATACTGAAGGTTGGGAGGCTACAAACCAATGACCAGACAGACAACAGAATATTAGGGTAAGTGGCATGATAAAAAGTAAAGCTGGTAAGGGCATAGTGGTGACATGGGGTACTGATTTAGAGTTTGGTCAGGGACAGCCTTTCTTTTTTCTTAAAAAAATTTTTTTTAAATGTTTTATTTATTTCTAGGAAAGAGAGAGACAGTGTGAGCAGGGGAGGGTCAGAGAGAGAGGGAGTCACAGACTCTGAAACAGGCTCCAAGTTCTGAGCTGGCAGTCAGCACAGAGCCCGACGCAGGGCTCGAACCCACGAACCGCGAGATCATGACCTAAGCAAAAGTTGGACGCTTAACCGACTAAGCCACCCAGGCGCCCCAGGGACAGCCTTTCTGAGGAACTAGGTGAGGTTTGTCAATATCTGAAGGAACAGAAGAGACCCAACCTCATAAAGATGAAAAGTGTTCCGAGAACATACTGCCCACATGTATTTCTCCATAGGGCACAGTGTTTTGTCACTGTATGTAGATGTAATCTAAAAATATTGATTCAATTAAGCAAGTGGAGTATACTCAGGGGAGAGCTATACTAGGAAAATAAAATAATTCCTTACAGTTTTTCTGGTACTGTGAACAGGAATAGGAATTTTATAGGTATTAAAGATGAGGCTCTTCTCTATGGATGGAGGTGGAGGAATGTCTAGAAAACATGCTGGCAGCAAGAAGCACATGGTATCCTAGTTTTAGAATAAATGAACTCATCTCTTTTTGAGTATATGTTTTTGTATGTGCACAGAAATGTGTGGAGAAGGAAGACAGGCACCCACTACCATTGGCTACTCTTAGGAATGGGGAGGGGGGAGGAACTTCCACTTTTGCTTTAAATCTATACTGCTGTATAGTTTTTGGGTTTTTAAAAAAATATATATGTATTTTAACATTTATTCATTTTTGAGAGACAGAGAGAGACAGAGCGAAAGCAGGAGAGGAGCAGAGAGAGAGGGAGACCAGAATCTGAAGCAGGCTCCAGGCTCTGAGCTGACACCACAGAGAGCACGATGCAGGGCTCAAACCCGTGAACCATGAGATCATGACCTGAGCTGAAGCTGGACCTTAACCGACTGAGCCACCCAGGCGCCCCTAGGTTTTGTTTTTATTTTTATTTTTTTATTTTTTTTATTTTTTTAAATGTTTTATTTATTTCTAGGAGAGAGAGAGAGAGAGAGACAGCGTGAGCAGGGGAGGGTCAGAGAGAGAGGGAGTCACAGACTGAAACAGGCTCCAGGCTCCTAGCTGGCAGTCAGCACAAAGCCTGACGCGGGGCTCGAACCCACGAACCGCGAGATCATGACCTAAGCGAAAGTCGGACGCTTAACCGACTAAGCCACCCAGGCGCCCCAAGGTTTTGTTTTTAAACAAAGAGTGCATGTTAATTTTTAAAACTAAAAAATTATTTTAAAATGAGATAGGGAGAAGGCATACTTCAAGTGATCTAGCTAACAGTCTTCATTGTACAGAGCAGGATTTGAATTAAATAATACTTTGAGTATCATTGAGCTGGGAAAGTATCCTCAAGGTTACGGGATCACTGAAACACGAGGGAGTGAGCCAGCTGCTTAAAGAAGTGAAAAGAAGGGCATTCTTGGTATTGGGGAGAAATACTGTCTCATTGGCTGAGGCTTTCTCCGCAGTGGAGGAGGTAGGTTTTCATATGCAGCAGGTTGGTTTCGGCGGTCTCCAGTTTCCAGTCTTGTTGTGCTCGTTCAGCTTCAGGAGAATGACTGGAAATGCTTAAAAAGCCCTAGGAGGTGGAGAGGGGGATGGGGGTGGGGTTGAGCACCCAGGAGCCTCTTTGTTCTCAGATCTGATCTTTCAAGCTCTAGGATCAGAGGGAGAAGCTGTGAACATGAGAAAATGGTTTTGTCTGTTCATGGCCCCATGCAGGTGCCGCTTGAAATTCCAAGTGACAGTTTTTATCTTATTTTTAATTTTTTTAATCTTTATTTTTGAGAGAGAGAGAGAGAGAGAGTGGGAAAGGGGAGGGGCAGAGAGACAGGGAGACACAGAATCCCAAGCAGGCTCCAAGCTCTGAACTGTCAGCACAGAGCCCGACGTGGGGCTCGAACCTATGGACCACAAGATCATGACCTGAGCCGAAGTCGGTCGCTTAACCTACTGAGCCACCTGGGCGCCCCTCCAAGTGACAGGTTTTAATGTGTTCATGAAAGAGAAAGGTTTTCTTTTTTACTTCTTGAAGGGACAAGTGGGGAAATGTTAGGAGCAGGAGAGAAGAAAATGGATGTAGTTGTGAAAAGCTTACCAACTTTAATAATGAAACCCATATCATGGGGCAGAGATGTGTGTGACTACTTGGGACTTTTCCATCGCCAACCCCCTGCACCTTTTCTCTGGATGTGACCCTGTTGTCTTCAGCTTGTGAGAGTCCTTGGAGGCCCTGAGCATCCCAGATGTCTATGTCCTTGGCTTTGGAAACCCTGTGGGTTTGAATCCTAGCTTTTCTGCCTACAGACAGTATGACCTGTCTTGACTCTTTAGTTTTGCGTTTCCTCATTTTTTTTTTAAGTTACTTATTTTGAGAGGGAGTATGCATGTGAGCTGGGGAGGGGCAGACGGGGCAGGGGTGGGGGTGGACAGAGGATCTGAAGCAGGCTGTGTGCTGACAGCAGAGAGCCCGATGGGACCCGAACCCACGAACCTTGAGATGATGACCTGAGCCGAGGTCGGAAGCTTAACTGACTGAGCCACCCAGGCACCTGTATCTTCACTTGTCAGATGAGGTAAATAATCATCTTGTGAGGGGACCCTGCAGAGCACACCTGGTGAGTGTCCAGAGTTAGCTTTCATTACTACCAGTGGCACGTGGAGATTTCTGCCTAGCATTTTGGAGAAATGCACATACATTGAAGGAGAAAATAGGAATTGAAGATGTGAATGAACCAAGAGAAGAGATGGTGGCAGGGGAGAGTCGCACACTATAAATAAGGATTTCAGTTCTATTTGTCTGCCTTCAACTTGTCAGTGGCTGGCAGAGCAAGAAGACCAAACCCCCTTTTGTGGGCCTCCCTGCCTGTGAGGTGGGGACAGGTGCAGCTCTGTGCCCAAGTGGTGGGCCAGACCAAGGACGTCACGTCAAAACCAGGGATCGTGTGGCTTGGCTGTCTAAATTTACCGGTTATGGTCTCTTCGTGATTTAGACTTTGCAGGAATAGTTCTAAAAACACATGAAAAATAGTTCCAGCCTGAGATTTCTGGAGGAAGGACAGTGGAGCCTGGTGGTTAAGTGATTATAGCAGAAGACATGGCTTTGTGTGGTAGGTTTGTTTTTTAAAGCTCTGGCACCTCATTTTGCTCATCTGTAAGGTGGAAATAGTTGGAGTACCTAAGTCACGTGGTTGAAAATATATGGGAAAATCCTATAAAATATATACTACTGTGTCTTGTACAGAGTAAGGACTCAGTATATGCTAGCAGTTATCATGAATGGCTAACATGGGTAAGTGTTTTGAAGGTAAGGGCTAGAACAGTGGGGAAATTACTGAAGTTTATGATATAAATAGGAATAGTTAGCAGGTTCAAAAAAAAAAAAAAAGCTTTCTTTTATCTTGCCTAGAATGTCCTAAGAATCTTCATACACTCAGCTGTTGAGGGTTATTAATTCCTAAACATTTTTGTTTTGAGAAAATAAACTCCAAGAACAAAGAACTCTTATAGGCTAATTGTTTGTTTCTTTAAGATTTTATTCTCCTGTGATTTTTTTTTTTTTTTTATGATTTTCTTCCACATGATCTAGGGACAGCTCTCACTTTATAATCCAATTCAGTTTTTGAATCCTGAATTGCCTGGGTGCAGACTAGGGTCTGGCCATCCTGCTCTAGCTGGGTGACTTGGGGCGAGGGGCTTGGACTCTCTGGGTCATTGGCCATTAGAGCAGTGGATCTTAACCAGGGACCTTTCCATCCCTTAAGAGACATCTGGGAAGTTTGTGGACCTATTTTTGGTGGTTACAGTGATGGAGTTTTATCATCCATAAATCAGTTTTACTTTGGAAGAGTAAAAGGGGCAGGGGTGCCTGGGTGGCTTGGTCAGTTAAGCATCCAACTTCGACTCAGGTCATGATCTCACAGTTCGAGGGTTTGAGCCCCATGTCAGGCTCTATGCTGACAGTGGGAGCTTGCTTCAGATTTTCTCTCTCTCTCTCTGCCCCTCTCCCTGCTAACACACACACTTCCTCCCCCCCATAATCTTATTTTAAAAGGGGGGTGTTACCAAGGTTTTGCTATAAAAAAGGGGCTCAGGGTCTGATATGGTTGAAGACCACTGCTCTGATGGGGACTAATGATAACAAGAGTAGCAGCTTTATTATAATGTTTGTGACTTGCCAGAGGTCCCACAGCCACTAGGGGATGGAGGGAGAAAGTGATGCCCATCTGTTAGCTGGAACACCTGTGCTTAAACCACCATTGCTCTCACTAGCCCATCCCTAAACCATTGATCTAGAGACATGATGGAATTGAGGAATGTTTTTTATGGTTATTTCCAATCTAAAAAGGCTGAGAGGCCTTGGGGTGGGTCATAGAATCTCAAAACTCAGTGAAAGAGTTATTGTGGGTCCGTAAGGGCTGGATATGTGATGGGGGTGGGGAGGAGCTGCGGGCTGTCGTCCTCAGAGTGGAGCAGGTATCCTTTCATCCAGTAGCAAAGGATGTCAGCCAAGGCCAGTAGGGAAACGGCATTCTCCTGAGGACTTGCTGCCTGGACCCTTTCCCACACATGTATTTTTTCCCCCTCGAATTGAAGTTCAGGGCTACAATTCCTGTCTGTTCCAGCCAGAAAGTTGGCAGCTCCATCAATGATTTCCTGTGCCTTGATGATAAATGGTTTTCCTCTCGAAGAGATAAATTTGTATTTTGGAGGTTTCAATGTACTTTGAGTTCTTTATAATGGAATCTCATTCAAAATGGTTTCCCAACTGTGGCCTGTTCCAGGGCTCACGGCCAAAGTAAATTGTGCTAATGAGGAATAAAAGAACTTCAGGAAAATCATGTGCTCCTAAATTTCAGTCATGGAGGAGGCCTTAGGATCATCTAGTCCAGGCTTTTCGTTTTATAGATAAGGAAATGGAGTCCCAGGGAGAGAAGGAGGAGCGTGTCCAGGATCACGTCGCCATTTCTGGCTCTTTCTACCGAAAGCGCCTCCACTGAAGGGTGTGAGGATGGTATTTTTCTAAGATTTGTCAGGTCAAAGACCTGTCAACTTGTCAACACAAAATTCCAATGCATGCCAGACTATGACTTGCCGGGAAATATAGACACGGTTAGAATTTTTTCTTAAGACTTTTAGTTTTGTGTGATAGACACAGATTTTTTTCTTTTCAACTAGGAAGCTCTATGGTTTGTTAATAGTCCCTGGTTTTCTTATAAAAGCCTTAGACATTCACCTTGTAGAACAGGTGACAAGCTACATCCTGTGAGCCAAACGGGTCCACTGCCTGTTTTTGTAAATCAAGTTTTATTGGCTCACAGCCGTGCCCAATCCCTTACTGTCCCCAGTGGCGGACTTGAGTAGCTGGGGAGACCTTGTGACCTTCAAAACCTAACATATTTACTCTCTCACCCTTGACAGAAGTTTGCTAAACCCTGCTGTACAATATTGGAAAACAATAGAAAAGTGACACTAAGAAAACAATTATCCGTATCTCACCCTCAGGGACTTAGATGGATTCTCATTTCACCATTCTCTTGGTTAAAAATTTTTTTTAAGTTCATTTATTCATTTTTAAGAGAGTGTGTGAGCAGGGGAGGGACAGGGTGAGAGGGAGAGAGAATCCCAAGCAGGCTCTGTGCGGTCAGCACGGAGCTCAGTGCGGGGCTCAGTCCGATGAACCGTGAGATCATGACTGGAGCTGAAATCAAGAGTCTGATGCTCAACTGACCGAGCCACTCAGGCACCTCCTGTCTAAATATTTTGAAAATTTCTGGCTCTTTCCTAAGAATAAACTCTTAGAAGTAGAGTTAGTGAGCCCACAGGTGTGAGTGGGTTTGAGACTCCTGGTATGTTGCGCCCGACATCTTCTCAGCTTGCGTTTCCACTTGTGGTGCCTGTGCTTTGCCAGCATTCACCAAATGGACAAGACCTCCTCTGCTAACAGTTTGGTTTTGCTTCCATCGATTCAGGGGCAGGTTCAAGGCGGTGGTCTGCGTCCTGTCTGCGGTTACAACGTGTCTGGCGTTTGTCAAGCCTGCCATCAACAACATCTCTCTGATGACCCTGGGGGTTCCTTGCACTGTGCTACTGGTTGCAGAGCTAAGGAGGTGAGTGCCTTCATCTTCCTTCCTGCTCCTCAGGCTGTCCCTGTGTTAGGAACATGCCAGCTTCTCGTGTTTTGTTTGTTTTTGTTTTATTTATTTATTTTTTTAATACCCTCAAATGTGGAAGAGGAATCGGACTCTTCACATAGTTGGGTTTTTTTTTTTTAATTTTTTAAAGTTTTATTTATTTCTGAGAGAGAGGGAGAGAGACAGCGTGAGCAGGGAACCCACGAACCGTGAGATCATGACCTGGGCCGAAGTCAGACACTTAACCGACTGGGCCAACAAGGCACCCCTGCACATAGTTTTTGACTATTGGACTGAGAGCACATTTGATGGTTTGGTTTAAAATGTTAACGATCTCACTCCCAGAAAGAGGGAAGCAGCTGTTTAGTGGATGCAGTGCATCCCAGTGATCGAAGCTAGCTTAGCAGGAAGATCTCAAGGACCTAAGACTTAGTTCTGTACAACGAATAGATCTGTTCCTAGGACGAGAATAAGGAGAGAAGTCCTAACGAGGCTATTGCATTCACACACAGAAGGAAAGATGAATGTCTGTATACAAGGCAACATTGACTCCGGGTAGAATACTGTTGACTGTGTGATTTTCTCTGAGGCTTGGTCTCTTATTTACAGCCTATCAGGTAAAGCCTTTGCTATTTGCATAAGGATTTTCCTTTGGAAAGTTGTATACTCAGATCAGGTTGATATCCAGCAATAGTGTAGCCTTGTGTGTAAATGGCTTCTTTAGCCCCCAAATATATCTAACCGCTGCCCTTATTTTAATACCCTGAAAACGCAGCTTTTTCTTGGTGTCCATGGTTAGAAACACATTTTAACTCATGACGTCCTCATTGTTATGGACGTGGCATGTCTTAACTGAAGTCTTGGATCTCTCTTCCTTTGTGTGAGAGTTGCTCTATGTAAGGTGTTAGTTTTCCCTTCAGTCTTCGTTTTGAGAGGAGATATAGGGTTCTTCCCACCGCTCTGCCTCTGGGGGTTGCTTTGAATGTCAACAATAGCAGGCAGGGTCAAAGGTGATTGAAGATGTATTTTAAGAAACTGGCTGCAGAGGCGCCTGGGTGGCTCAGTAGGTTAAGCATCTGATTTCAGCTCAGGTCATGATCTAGCGGTTTGTGGGTTTGAACCCCATATCAGGCTCTGTCCTGACTGCCAGCTCAGAGCCTGGAGCCTGCTTCAGATTCTGTGTCTCCCTCTCTCTCTGACCCTCTCCTGCTCGCACTGTCTCTCTCTCTCTCTCTCTCTCTCAGGAAATAAAACATTAAAAAAAAATTAAAAAAAATAGAAACTGGCTGCAGAGGAAAGACACGGTCTGATCTGGTCTTGCTGGTTTCCTTCGGTGGGCTTGGAGAAGTCCGCTTCTTTTCAGGTTCTCATGTAAGCTCCTTGTTTGCTGTGCAGCTTTTGCGTGTAGGGGGTTTCTTTTTTTTTTTAATTAAAAAAAAATTTTTTTTTTTAAATTTATTTCTGAGAGAGAGAGAAAGCATGAACTGGGGAGGGTCAGAGAGAGAGGGAGACACAGAATCTGAAACAGGCTCCAGGCTCTGAGCTAGCTATCAGCACAGAGCCCGACGTGGGGCATGAACCCACGAACTGTGAGATCATGACCCGAGACAAAGTCAGACGCTCAACTGACTGAGCCACCCAGGCGCCCCGCATGTAGGGGGTTTCTGAAGGTGACAGCTCACCTCGGCTTTCCTCTCTCTACAGTCCCCCCTGAAAGAGCTCATCTGCAGTCACTGTGTTAATTACCAAACACCTGCAAATGACTCCCAGGTGTGTGTCTGACTCCGTCCTTCCTCCTGCCTCCACCACGGGGCATCCTGTCCGACCTCTGTCTCCACCTGTCCCAGCCATCTCGAATTCAGCCAGATTCCTGATCTGCCTTTTCCAGTTCTGGCTCTCTCAATATTTCCAGCTGGAGTAAATGGAAGTATCATGTACCCATTTGCTCAAGGCAGAAGCCTGGCTTCCTCTTCAAAATCCTGACGTAGCCCCTGCCTGCTGCTCTCGTGCATGAAGCTCCCAGCTACACTCTGTCCTCAGCCGTTCTGCCCTTCCCTGTCCCCGTCCCCAAGGGGGCTCAGCTCTTTCTGTCCCCAGGTCCTTGTCCCTTTCCTTCTGAAACCTCCTGCCTGGCTCACTTCTGGATCGTCTTTGACTCAACCTGTTTTTGCTCAACTGTTTATATGCCATCATAGCAACTCAGCCTTCCTTTTGAGCCCCCAGCCTGACTGTAATTAAAAATTACTTGTGCTGTTGTTTTGTGTACTCTCCTCTGCTTCATGTAGGCTCTGAAGGCAGGGGTGAGGCCTGCTGTGTTCACTGCTGTGTCTCAGTCCCCACCGGAGTCCCAGCAGGGGGAGAGAAGATGACGGTGGGCCTGCTTTGATGTAATTCCCAGACAAAGGGATCCCCTCAGTGCTCTTTGCATTTCCTTCCAGGACCTTCCCAGTTGTCAGTAGCAATGATGTGTAATGTGCTAAATATTTCTTATCCCACCTTCCTCTGCTCAGAAGGAACTGGGGAAGCTTTCTGTTTCTCATTAGCCTCATTCCTAGAGCTTGTTCCTCCTCTTTCCATGTTTCCATATTTCCTTTCTGAACCTTCTCTCAGACCAGGAGGCAACAAAATTTTATTGGAGGTTATGACCAATTACTGACATTTACTGAAATTCTTGGCAGGGTCGTACTACCAGGGGACTCAGGTGCATTTAACATATTTTCAGGTCGACGCTTTTTTTCTGATGAATAGGAGAGTCAGTTGAGAAAAATCTTGAGAATACAACAGAGGGCCGGGGAGAAAACTGTAGCCATCAGCTCAGATTTTTTTGTTTTTATCCTAAAGTAAGGCTCTGCTTGTATGAATCATTTAGTCTAATGAAAATGCTTTTTTCATTTAGTCTCACATTGACATTTTGATCTAAGCCCTGAGAAATGGGTGTGAGACCCAAAGTGCAGATATGCCTGGTCCGCAGCAGGCAGGACTTGGCCCTCTAGAAACAGAAAGGGACATTACCAGGCCACCCGGAGACCTTGATGCTGCAGGGCTTTCCCCGCCTGTGGCTAATCACCTGACGCTCTGCCTCTCTTGCCGCTTGATATACACACTGCCTCTCCAGCATATTGTGCTGTGTTCTGGTTGTGCTCCTTAAAACAAAAACAAAAACCTAGAAATTTTGGTTCAAGTTTATTTTGAGAGCGAACACGCACGAGGGAGGGGCAGAGAGAGAGGGGGAGAGGGAGAGAGGGAGAGAGGGAGAGAGAGAGAATCCCAAGCAGGCTCCACACCAGCAGTGCAGAGCCCTATGTGGGGCTCGAACTCATGAACCCAGGAGATCATGACCTGAGCCAAAAGTAAGAGTCAGACGCTTAACCAACCCAGCCACCCAGGTACCCCCCAAATTTCTAGGTTTAATTGAGTGTACATGGGTCCTTTTCTACCAGATTGTCTATATTTGTTTATATTTTTGGTCCATTTTCATTTTAAAGTAGCAAGGCAAGGGTCCAGTTCATTTTGCCTTTCGTGGTGCCTGGCATGGCTTCAGAGAGTTTGCTACACAGTCAACAAGGTTATCTTCTTGATTTTAATCTAGAAAAAAAAAAAAAGTGCTCCTTAGATCACTAGAATGTTAATGGAACATTTTCCCTTACTTCCTTATCTATTCATCCAGCAAGCATTGAAATCATGCCCCTCCTGGGCCAGGCGCTGCATATACTTGGAGCAGATATGGCTCCTAAGCTTCTTGATCTTACAGTCTAGTTGGATACTGGACATTAGACAAATAATTTACACCAATAAAAACGATGTCAGCTAATGAGGAGTGTTAGAAAGGAAAATGGGGGTGCGGACAGTGTAATCGGGGGGGGGGCGGCTGTCAGGGAAGGTCTATCTGAGAAGGTGCCCTTGAAGCTGAGACCTGAGGAGGCAGAGAAAGCTGAGCCAAGAGGAGGAGGAGCTGAGCCTCTGTGAGGGAACAGCAGGTCTGAGGGGGAGCCATTCAACAAAGCTAAGTAGGAATTTAGTTTCTCCGGTCGGGGACCTCTCTTGTTTCAGAGAATTTTTGAAAGTTTTTCAAGGAATGCATTTAGCTCTCCTACAAAAAGGTATTTCAGTTGGGTTTTTTTAAAGATTTTTTTTTAATATTTTCATTTATTTCTGAGAGAGAGAGAGAGAGAGACCGTGTGAGCAGGGGAGGGTCAGAGAGTGAGTGAGATATAGAATCTGAAATAGGCTCCAGGCTCTGAGCTGACTGCCAGCACAGAGCCCGACGGGGGGCTCGAACCCACGAACCGTGAGATCATGACCTGAGCCGAAGTTGGAAGCTCAATCAACTGAGCCACCCAGGCTCCCCTCAGTTGTTTTTTTCTGAGTAGGTCTTTCTGAACCTACTGCCCGTCCTGTTTTTACTGAGGGTTTTGTGGATTTTTTTTTGTCAGGCAGCTAGGAAAGGTACCGGCAAGTCAGGCTTTGGACGCTTGACTTGTTCAACAAATATGATGTGTGACCCCTTCTCAGGTGCAGATGTCACATTGGACCCTGGGTCCCGGAAAGAGAGCTTGATTGAGGAGCGTTCCATGAGGGATGGGGTGGGGGGAGAAGGAGACTGACGGAGGGTTTAGAAGGACCCTCAGCTGCCAGCTGCCTCTGGGCATTCCTCCCTAGGAATAGAAGTCACCCCCTTGTGAGCAATTTGGGAACAAGGAAAGGAAATGGCAATCGAACTTTCTTTGGGCTGTTGGTATTTGTTTCTGAAACACATTTTGTCCCAGCGTAGGTGAGAGCCCTTTGCTTCAGTCAGCAAATCGTGGGAGCCCCCTGTGTGCTCAGGGCTGTAGCAGGGAAGACCCGCTGTATACACATAGGTACCACATGGAGGGTGCTAGAGGGGTTATGATCCCTACAGAGGAGATCACAGGAGAGAAGAAGGTAATGGGGAATTGGGAGGAGTCACTTAGGGGGTGGAGAGGGAGGGTGCAATGGTTAAAGACCTCCTCAGGAAGGGGTTTCACCGAGTGACATTTAAGCAGAGACGTGGGAGACAGTGAGCCATGTGGTTCACCGTCATGTGGTGAGAAAGCGCGTTCCAGGTGGCGGCAGCAGCCAATGCTAAGGTCTGGGAACCGTGCCCGGGATATTTGAGGAGCACAGGGATCCCTGGGTGGCGCGGTAGATGAGCAGAGGCAGCGAGGGAGAGAGTAGGCAGGAGAGCAGGTGGAGGGCAAAGGAGAAGCCGAGGCGTGTGGGGCCTTGTGGGCTTTCCCCCTGGTTTAAAAGGAAGACACGGGAGGCTTTGAACAGACCATGGGAATGAGGGTGGGAGGAAGCAGTTGCTGTGACTCAGGCAGGAGAGGACAGTGGCGTGGACTCGGGCGGGGCTGGTATAATAGGCCAGACTTTGGATATATACTAAATGCAGAGCTGATGCGGGGTGCGTGGAAAGGGAACAAGGACTCCAAGGCTCTTGCCTGAGCTTCCAAAAGCACGGAAGACTCTCTTCCGGAGTGGGCTGGGATAAAACCACGTTTCAGGCAGGGGAAAGGATCGGGAGTGTGTTATGGACGTGTTCAATTTAGGTCTGTATCACACCTGGGTAGACCTGTCGAGAAGGTGGTTGGGTATGTGAGTGGGAGTCAGGGAAAGGCCTGGGTGAGAACGTGGCATGAGAGGCCATCTGTGTATATACCGTGCCTACATCCACAAGCTTGGGGGTGACAGTGGATGTGAGGAGCCAGAACAAAGTGACCAGTGAGCTGGGTGGCAACCAGGCCTCATGGCAACTTGCTCTCTGGATCCCTGGTGCCAAGGGTCCAGGCGGATGTGAGGAGCCAGAACAAAGTGACCAGTGAGCTGGGTGGCAACCAGGCCTCATGGAAACTTGCTCTCTGGATCCCTGTGCAGGTGTGACAATGTGCGCGTATTTAAGCTGGGCCTCTTCTCCGGCCTCTGGTGGACCCTTGCTCTCTTCTGCTGGATCAGTGACCGAGCCTTCTGTGAGCTGCTGTCGTCTTTCCACTTCCCCTACCTGCACTGTGTGTGGTAAGCCCCGGCGATGCGACAGGGGTCTGTGCTTGTGGTCAGGCGTCATTCTCCCTGCGGGGTGGGTAGGTGTGGGAGGGGACGCACAGCCTGAGTGCCTGTCTCCTCACAGAGACTGTCAGGCCTTTCTGAAGCAACAGAAAGTATGGTCAAAAGCAGAATGGGTTCCAGGGAGCTGGCTTAGCCAGAACTGAAAGACCTAATTGTGTGTGTTTCAAGTCCACAGTCTCTTACCTCTAGCTCCATTACTACAGCGTAAAGGAGCTTGGAAACCAAATCTGTAACTGGAGCTTGAGCTAGATCTCTAGGGAGGGGGGTAAGGCTTGGGACAGATAGGATGTGGGGCCTGGGATGCCCTGGTGACAGCGTCACAGGTCATTTAGGGACACAGTCTCAACCACTCCCTTTCCAGGTAGAAGAGATGGATGCCCAGAGGGGTAAAGTGCCTCATTGTTCAGGATCACTCACCTGAGAGTTTAGTCATAGGGAATTGGAGCATCTATCAAGTTACATGGTCAAGTTTAAAAATAAAAGGCAGCAAGCAGTTTACTGAACAGCATTCAACAGTTTCTACTCAGAAAGCTGAGGGAGGAAGTCAGCGTGGTTTCTTCTTAGGAACTGCTTCAGCGCCAAACCCAGAGTCCCGTTTCCCTCCATTTCCCTCCACCCGCCAGGACTTCTGATTGCAAAAGGTAAACAAGAACCAAGAGACATCTGGTTTAGGATGGCCCTTGTAAATTGAGAGCATCTAGGGAGAATTCCAGTGGTAAGGAGCTGGAAAAAACGCTAATAGATCCGAGATTCAGAACAAGCTTGACCTCTGCCAGGAGGTGCCTAGAACTCTGCGGTTTAAAAGAACTCGTGTGAATTTCCTTGAGCATGAGAATTTGTAGATTTCCAACAGGAGATAGAATTTGCTCTCCGTGGAAGGCTTGGGGACTCCCAGGACTGTTCGCAAAACACAAAACAAAGTAAAATAGCACGAACTGGAGATTCTAGTCTGAGGGTCCTGTGCCTGATATTTTTTAGGTTCGACCTTGGCTTACAGTCTATAGATTCACTAGTGTGAGTTTGTTGAGTTATGATGGAGATAATAAAAAGCAAATTTTTTAAGTGTTTATTTTTAAGAGAGAGAGTGAGAGACCGAGCTCAAGGGGGGAGGGGCATAGGGAAAGGGAGACACAGAATTGGAAGCAGGCTCCAGGCTCTGAACTGTCAGCACAGAGCCTGATGTGGGGCTTGAACTCACGAACTGTGAGATCATGACCTGAGAGAAGTCAGACACTTAACTGACTGAGCCACCCAGGTGCCCCTAAAATGCAGATTTTAAGGGTATAATTTGATGTTTTGATAAATGTATACATGTGTGCAAAGATGCCCTCATTCAACACAGTACATTTTTATTAATCCAACACTAGCAATTTAAGCCAAACTTAAAAATTAGACTAATAATTTTGGCTCAAACTTCATTTGTTTTCTAAGTTTGGTGTACTTCCTGCTTTGTTTTTCAAAGGTGAACCATGTTTTTGTACCAGTTAGGACATTTTAAGAACAAATTTAAACAGAAGTATAGAGAGAGGCTCTCATAATTCTGTCTACCAAAGAGTGATAACAATTGTTAACAACCTGAGGTTTATCCTTCTGGATTTTTTTTTTTCCTAAAGATTTTTTATTTAAGTAATCTCTGCAACACGAGGCTTAAACTCATGACCCCAAGGATCAGGGTCACACATGCTATGGACTGAGCCAGCCAGGTGCCCTTCTTCCAGACTTTTTATGTCTATTTCTCTAATTCTACTTTATTTAAAAAATGTTTTAAGTTTATTAATTTATTTGGGGGGGGGTCCAGGGAGGGTAGATAGAGAGGGAGAGAGAAAGAATCCCAAGCAGGCTCTGCACTGTCCGCACAGAGCCCAGTTTGGGGCTAGAATTCACAAATTGCGAGATCATGACCGGGGCCAGAACAGTGTCAGACACTTGACTGACTGAGCCACTCAGGCACCCCTCTAATTCTACTTTTAAAGAACAAATATAGCATCATTCTATACATGATGCAAACTTTTTTTTTTTTTTTTTTTTAGAGAATAGATAGATATCTAGTAATCTCCCTGGATTTGGATATATATCTAGATCCAGGGAGATTATATTAATGAACCCTTTTTAAAAGTAAAGTCTATAAGATAATGCCTTTTACCCGTACTGTCATATATATTAGATATTAGCTCTTGAATCTTAACCTGATTAAGCATATTTTTATTTTCATGTCTTTGTATTACAAAAAAGCCTTATTGTTGAACATCTTTTCCAATGTAAGTTTACGTATTTTCTTCTCTTGAAAGATACTTTTTTGTTTGTCTTCTCTGCAGAGTATTTCCTTTTTTAAAGAAACATTTTTTAAAAATATTTATATTTGAGAAAGAGAGAGAGAGAGAGAACAGGGGGAGGGGCCACGAGAGTGGGAGACACAGAATCTCAAGCAGGCTCCAGGCTCCCAGCTGTCAGCACAGAGCCTGATGCAGGGCTCAAACCATGAGTTCATGACCTGAGCCAAAGACAGACGCTTAACCGACTGAACCACCCAGGTGCCCCTTCTCTATAGAGTATGTCTATTTTTAAAAATTTTTATCTACTACCTAGTGCCTGGCACATAGTAGCCAGTCAGTACTGTCTGACAACCAGGTGTATGTGTCATGCAAATTTGCATCATTTTCACGAGTAGGGAGAGGACTATATGAAACCCTAATGGAGGTAACATCCAGCATCAGTAATTACCTGCCCGAGGGCAATCTCGGCCATGCCATCTTCACTGCCCACTCCCACACTGATGGTTTTAAAGCGCATCCTGTGAAATGATCACTTTTTGAGAGTTCTTTGGAATATAGGGATTTTAACTCTTTGGTCATGTGGGTACAAATACCCCACACTCCCCTTTCCCATTTGTCTTTGAGTATGTTTTTGTGCCATATTGACTTTAAACATTCATGTTCTCACACTGTCAGTCTTTTCCTGTAGGGTTTCTGGGCTTTGTATCATCCCAGAAAGGCCTCAGCCACCGCAGTTTATAGAAGTATTCTCTTTGACTGTATTTAACAAATAGATTTTAAATCTTTCATCTGGAATTAAATTTCAGTCTACAAGACAAGGAAGAATTACATGCTTTTAAATGGCCCCTTGCATGATAAAGATTAAGGTTAGAACTTTTTACAGACACGGTAAAAAAGTTTCCCTGCTAAACTGTACAAGCAGTTGAATCAGTTTAAAATGATTCCTAATAAGGAGCATAAACTATGTACAAGTGACGGAGTAAGAAGGTGGGATCTAATCAGATGTGCTTAGTTCACTCCATCTTCTTAGCACTGGTTTTAAATCTTTGGGCCTCAGTTGAGTGTCAAAGGCATTTGCATGTTTGCTCCTATTAGAACTTTCTGAAACAGGCCCTGTTTGGTCCAGATTTATCTTTCTCCAGCTATCCTGGAGATCGTGGTCACCTTCAGCCCTCCATAATTGGAAGAGGTGCTGAACTGTCATGACAGCCAGGAACGGTGGGCTGGCCCAGAGGGAAGGGCAGGCTAGCATGAAGGCCGCCATCTTGGCCTGTGTCAGGTGCTCACCCTCTGTTGTCCTTCTCACAGGCACATCCTCATCTGCCTTGCTGCCTACCTGGGCTGTGTATGCTTTGCTTACTTTGATGCAGCCTCCGAGATCCCTGAGCAGGGGCCCGTCATCAAGTTCTGGCCCAGCGAGAAATGGGCCTTCATTGGCGTGCCTTACGTGTCCCTCCTGTGTGCCAGCAAGAAATCACCAGTCAAGATCACGTGATGGCAGAGCCGTGGCTTGGCTTCTCTGCTTCTTTTCCCTCAGGCACGGGCTCCATATGTCAGCCAAGACAGCTGGGGGTTTGCGGAGTTGGGGGTAGGGCCTGTCTTTTAAAAGTTCTGGTCCCGTGGGCTCAACTAACGTGTCTGTGGCCCACCGAGACTCTACCATGCATGAGGAGGAGTCTTTTCCTTTCCCAAAGACGGAAAGTGGAGGGCTGAAGGGCACCGGTGGATCTTCTCAGCCTCCCATCCAGATGCAGTGGCTCGTTAGGCTGTATCCTTTCCAGCAATGGCAGAGCAGACCCTCGGGGGAGCCCATTTCCCAGCGGGAGATTGCTCCAGACTCGACCATTCCCGTGTGCTCGCGGAGTGGACTCTCTTGCTGACTGACAGGCCCTGCAACAGACTCGGACCTCTGACTGTCTGATGGAACATCCCAGGGATTTTCATTTGAGGAAACTGTCCTAAAACTAGACCAAACCCATGAAATCCACACAGGGGCTAGTGGCTAAGGAGGTGTCCATTTAGAGCTCTCCATGGCCAGGTTTTACATGTGCTTGAGAATCTTTTCTCTACTACCTCTGCTGAGAGATGGGGATTGGACTTCAGAGGAGGGTGAAGCAGACAAGAAAAGCCCTCTCTGCCAAAAGCTACACTCCACTTGAAGCCATTCTTGAAGATGAGCACAAGTTTCAAATATGGACACTGTTGGCCCCTCCCCCAACCAGCAGCCTCACACACCAGCACAGAATAGCTGCGGGGTGAGCAGTCTGCACGCAGACCCCGCTCCTTTGTGCCGAGCTCCGCAAGGTCAGGCCTCATGACAGTCACAGTGGGAAGTCCTGCCTTGTTCAACAACTGGAACAGACACGGAGTTCTGGAAACTTGTGCCGATGGGAAGCCGTCTGGATGCTCTTCCATTCGGGAAGTTATCCTCAAAAATGTCGCCTCCTGTCTCTCCAAGATCTGCGGGAACTGTTCTCCATACTCTCCCAGTACAAGGTGCTTCCTGTGGTTTCTCCAAGCATTTGATTGCTGCTTCTCTCCAGTGCTGCAGGGACTACCCGCTGGCTCTTTGGGTTGCTGGTGCTTCAGGCAATGCTGTTGCCTCCTTGGTTTTTCCTCACCCAAAGTGACACTAGCCAAAACTCATCTCTTCACTGGCCTGAACGAAGACTCCGGAAACGGTCATCAAGGTGTGAGGGGGCACGCATGACCTCAGGGATACCCACTTAAATTCCCACATCTCACGCTTTGCAACATTTCATCATGAAAGAGGCAGGACAGACGTGTCCTTGTGTGAACGGGAGTCCTGTCACTAAGGAACTAATAAGAATGAGGCACGACCAGCCTGTGGCAGGTCTGCGAACTTTGGCTCCAGTTAGAATTTGCACAGGATCTAAGGTGAAAAGCCCAATAAGGAACTGAACTGAGAGATTAAAAGTGAAGGACTTTATTCTGCCTCTGTGGTTTAAGTTATTTTTAGCAGCAGTACCCTATTTGCAATAAGAAATTATCATGGAGCCCAAATGTGTAGTAGAGATCATATACTAGTAGTTTATTTTAAGGCTAAACTTCTCCATTTCCCTAGTATCATGCAGTGAAAAATGCAAGTTAAATCGGTGGTTTTCATGGTAAAAAATTTGGTATTGAATGAGTGTACCTGTTTATTATAGCTTAAAAAATAGACTTTAAAAATGGTATTCAAGTGTCTATGGGGCTCCTAATGCACTTCTGAGACCTAAGTGGTTCGTGAACCACCTAGAGTGTTTTTTCTTAATTTTTAAATATTTTTGAGAGAGAGAGCACGAGAGAGCAAGCACAAGCCGGGGAGGGAAAGAGAGAGAGGGAGACACAAAATCTGAAGCAGGCTCCAGGCTCTGAGCTGTCAGCACCAAGCCCATTGTGGGGCTTGAACCCACGAACTGTGAGATCATGACCTGAAGTCGGATGCTTAACCAACTGAGCCATGCAGGCACTCCAGAGCCATCTAACATTTTAAAACTGCTGTTCAGTCCTTTGTGTGCTTTTAAAAAAATTTTTCTTTTAATGTTTTATTTCTGAGAGAGACAGTGTGAGCAGGGGAGGGTCAGAGAGAGAAGGAGACACAGAATCCGAAGCAGGCTCCAGGCTCCGAGCTAGCTGTCAGCACAGAGCCCGACACGGGGCTCAAACCCACGAACCATGAGATCATGACCTGAGCCGAAGTCAGATGCTTAACAGACTGAGCCACCCAGGTGCCCCACAGTCCTTTGTGTTTCAAGTCTAGAATTTTTCAAAGGGAAATATCAGACTGTTCTCGCTTCAGAGGGACTTCCCAGGTGTGGATTCTGGTCTTATCCATTCTGGAATATAAAAATTGCTGCAAAGTAGGAGGAAGCTTTGATTTACTTTAAGTCCAGCCATCTTAGTGTGGAAGTGTCCATGAGGAGAGGGGGGTGTGGAAGTGTTTGTGCTCTGGGGGAGGTTTACTTTCCGTCCCGAGGGCTTCAGCACAGGGAGCATTGTTCCATAAGTTAAGGAGGGAGTGGGTCTCCCGATCAGGTAAAGGGGTAGGTCCTTGGGGAACACTACGTTCTAACTCCCAAATCTGACTTTACTCTTCTTGAAGTTTCTGAGTGTCCTTTGGAAATAGGGATAAACTGTGACTGCTGAAACAAAGAAGTGCGTACCCTGACCGAGCTGTTTCCATCTCTCTTCCACAAGACAAATGACTTAGTTAATATGTCAGAAGGAATGATTTTGCTGTAAAAAACAGAAGGTCCTTCTAGAGATTGGTTTTGATAAGCTGAGGGCTGATAAAGAAGTACGGAAGGGGGTATATTTTAGGGGGACAAAAACATAACTCCACTTGTGAACAAAAAAAAGTCACTCTAGCTTGTTAGTGTGAAGATGGTAAATCAAGAAAGTAGTAGTTTAACGATCTTATTTGAAGTTAGGTTTATGGCATCCTTTGTGTTCATGTTTACGATGCTTTTATAGCACTACAGGCTCTGGAAGAAAGTCAGAAAGTTACAGGAAAGTTCAAGAGAAAAGAATAGTCTGCATTTCTGTTGTCCAAGGACGATCATTGTTAATATTTTGGTGTTTTTGGTGTATTTCCTCATCTTTTTTTTCTTCTTCCCCCAATAGAGTTGTAAATAGACGTCTTTTAGAGTGGGCGGTTCATCCGGTAGCTCGAACGGAATATAAATGCCAGTTGTGTATTTTTCATGAAGAGCAGCTTTTGAAATACACTCAAGTTAGCTCTACGCTTATCACTGGATTCTGACTTACTGCTGAGTCTTTTTACGTTGAGCCGGACATGATTAAGTCCTAAGAAACACTGAACTGAAATCTACTTTTTGTTCACCCTCTGTACTTGGATTGACAAATTACAGAAAATAGCTATTTAATATATGGTTCTGCAGGTTGTGAGGTTTTCAGATTTAAAAAAATGAATAGCTTATTAATGTGCAATCAAGAATCTTTGTCCCCACCCCCCCCACCCCCAATATGCGGGGAGGTGGAGAGTGACATCAAGTCACCATTTAAGTCAGTGATTCTTATTTTATAGTGTTTGTGGATTTTTAGAAGAAGAAATCTTTTCTCCTTTTGATGATTAGGATTATAATGTTCGCACTTCAGTGAATATATTTAAGTTGGGTGGGGAAGAGATAGCTGAATCTATTTGGTAACAGGCTACTTTTGGGGGAAATCTGCCTGTCCCTCTGATGAGTGCCTACTACGTTAATCATGGATCAGAGATGTTCAGTTGGGGGACCTACACTCGATGATCATCAAGCACAGACTTTCTAAATATACCATAACTTGTTCTGTTTACTGGATTTCTCAGGTGTGTAAGAACTACTCACCAGTTCAGCACATTTATGTGAGCCAGGGCCACGTTGGGAGGCTCAGAGTGGGGTGGAGTCTTCCTTGGCTCTTTGTCCGTTGGGGCTGGCATGAGACCATCTCTGATGGACAGGTGAGGGTTGACGCTTGCCCAACCCGATCCTCTCTCATAGCTCCTTTCCCCAAATGAGCTTGGAACCTTTCATTGCCAGCCCTTTGCCTGGTTGCTACCATTCCAACTGGCCAAAGAGAATGCTCAGGCCAGATTGGGATTCTTAATGGATTATACGGACATACTCCTACAGGCCAAAAAAAGACTTCTAAAGGACTAATTGTTTGAATGGTTTCTTTCTCTATTTGTTAAACCAGGTTTAAGACTATTTTATAATCACAGTATGTAATCAGACATTTTATAGTATTTTCAGACCTATACCTTGGTTTTATACTTTAAATAGGTTGTGCCATATTAGGGTGGTGTGCCCACTGGCTGTGGGAGCAGTTAATCTCTAGTGCTTTGGGAGTGATTTAAGGCCTTTTGAAATAGAGCTTTTGCACTTTATACTATTTTTGTGAACTAGGAGTTGTATTTCAATATTAAAGCCGTAAGTGGCATTTTCTGTGAATGAATAGGTTTATGTTTGTGTTTATTTCCAGAATGATCCCTGAAGTAATCTGAAAGGGAAAAATACATTTAATGGATTGTAGAGGAAAGCACATTTTCCTGAATTTGTTTGTGAGTGAATTTGGGTCGCACGGTTATTAAACTTAAGATTAGCATGGTTGTTTCTTCTCAGAGCTGTGACATTACACACCTAAGTATTTACAGTACCAAGTGCCTAAAAACAGAATATTTTTTATTAGAAGTTCTAGTATTAGGTCATGGATATAAAAGCTCAAATCTAGAAAACTCCTCTATGCTGGATTTCCCTCCCCCCCGGGTCATTGGAAGGAAGATCATATCACATTTCAAAATAGTAAATGACTTTATTTGGCAGAAAGTTTTTTTGATGTTTATTTTATGATGTTTATTTTTGAGAGAGATAGAGAGCAAGCCAGAGAGAAAGGGAGACACAGAATTTAAAGGAGGCTCCAGGCTCTGAGCTGTCAGCACAGAGCCGGACATGGAGCTCGAGCCCATGAACTGTAAGATCATGACATGAGCCAAAGTCGGACGGCTCAACTTACTGAGCCACCCAGGTGTCCCAGGAAAGTTCTCTATGTACCTATGTTGCTTAATTTGCTATGATCTTTAAAAAATTATTATTAAAGATTTCAGAGGCCATGATATTTAAAAGAATAATGTGACCATCAGAACAAGGACAGGATCATTACAGTGGGGTTTTCAGACTTTTTTCTGGCCTGGATGAAGAGATAAGGAGGGGCCATGGAGCCTTTTGACAATCTGATGGAGTAGGGTCTTCTCCCTAGGGAAATGACTATACATAGGAATCTCTGGGAATTCAGGTGTCCCTGGAACGCAGAATTATCTGGAACTCACCCAACTGAAGAGGTCCTGCTGGACAGGGCATGAGCCCAGGATCCAAACCCTTTCTGATGCGCAAATTGGTAGCTCCACTGCCCTGCTCTTCCATTGCCCTCTAAGACCAGTGCTCCGCGCCTCCTCCCCTTCTCCGTCAGGACTTCACCCTCTGAGGGGCTGGAGGGGGCAGACCCAAGGTGCTGGGAATGCACAATTGAAGTGTCCTTGACAAATAGGAGCTTAACTACATTTTCCTTAAGCCTCTTTCCTGGCCTCTGGCTTCAGACACTCCAGTAAGATCTTATCTGGGTCAGTCGTTTTATTCTGCCTTCTGTATGGTCGGATTTTTCCATAATAAAAACTTTAAGAGGTAGAATATTTGGGGTTTTTGTCCTTCATTCTCTCTGGGGTGGGGCTCAGCCTCCTTCCTGCCCATCTTGGGAGGGGAGGGCGGCTGACAGCCTCTGTCCCCAGCTTAAGTGCCCGTCTTAGCCTCAAGTGGGCATTTCTGTTTCTGATCATGTCCAGGCCTGGTGACACCACGCTTAACTGGGGAAGCCTCTCTGGGTGATAACGCACACAAAGGGAAACATCAACCTACCATGTTTTTTGGGTTGGTTTATTTTATAGCATTAAAACATTTGACTCAGCTGGTTTTACAACTGGGAACAGAGACCACAACACTAACTTAAAAATTCTACAACTAGCAATAAAATCGGTAGTTTTTGTAGTAAGGCTAGGCACAAGAAAGTGACTTAAGGTAAGGCCAGGAGCATGAAAGGACACAAAATGGACGATGGCATTGGTGGGATTTGCTAGGGAAGGAAGTCTGAACAAAGAAAGCCATAGCCACTGGGTGGGAAGGACAGGAGAGACTCCTGGAGTAATACCGCCATCTTGTGGCCTTTTTGGGTATTCCTATCAGTGGCACTCTTGAAACTTCCCAATTGCAAATCACCCCAGAGCTCACTCAATATAATTATCTCAAAAACTCCCACAAATTACACGTCTTTTTTCTGGGCCCAAATAGGCTTTCCCGTTTGTTTTTTATTTGTTTTTTTAAACCCCAAGCATCTCTCTGCCTTGTCTTCTCCTTGCTTCCCCCAGCAACTCATTCTTTACCTTCTCGGTGATCTTAGAA